CATGTATCAGTGTCCTTGTCGCTATCCTTGCCCTTGACCCTGTCGGCGGGGAACAGGCCATGCAAACCGACGACTCGAACTCGGGTGATGCAGCAACGCATAGCATAGTTGAAGCTTGCAGCACATCGAAGCTTATTATCAGCCTGTTGGAGGTGTTGGGGTAGCCCATTTCGGCCAATCCCACGCCTGTCCTCAACACACACAGCCTCTACCACTGCCTACAAACACCCAGGGGCAGGGACGTGTTGCGGCCCGCAAGGCCCGACCGTATTGTGTCCTATCCTCGTGTTTGACAGCCATCCAAGGGGCAGTGCTCACACGTGTGGTTAGCTAATCATAGCATCAGCAGGTGCCACGGGTGCGGTGGTGAGCAGAGGGGGGGTAAGAATACGTGCAGCGTGTCCATATCCTACCATGCATGTATGTAGTAGCAAGTATGTAGGAATATACAAGTAAGTATGCATCCAAGCCATGGATGGGCGGCCTAATGTGGAGAGAATGGGCTATCGGGGGCGGAAGCTAAGCACTCGGTACGCGCACAAGTGGATTGGATGGCCGAGCGAGACCCTGCCTTGCCTGCCTCTTTGCCCAAGCGACTGCGACTCTCTCCCCGCCGAATCCACATACACACACTCACACACGCCCACACTCATCTCTCGCCCTCCCAAACACGCGGGCACCACTCAACACCCACCCATCTACTGCATCCTCCCTCTCCCAATAGCCCCTTGGGCTCTTATCCACCCCCCACCCTGTTCCCCACCCTCGCACACGCCCCCGTCTTCTGCTCGGCACACGCGCGCCTCCAATGTCCCAACTGTGCCTGGGGCTTGTCGTCACGCCCGCATCCACGTCGTCGTACAGGCCATTGTCTGCGCACACCCGTGTCGGCTGAGCGCCCTGCCTCTGCGTCCCCACCATATCCACCATGCCCGCCACAGGAGGAGGACGCGCTGCCCACCCCCCGCCTTCGACGATGCATTCCTCGCGCAGAGAGAGTAGTGCCATGGCCCCTTCAACCCAGCGCCCGGGCATCAAGACACGCGCCTACTCGGCTCCCAACGTGCCCAAGTGCGATAGTGACGTTAGCACCGAATCTCCACGCACAGACGACGACCAAGAAGGCGAGGAGATTGCCGACGATGCCTTTTTCCAGCGATACCACTTCCCCCAACCCGTTCCCATAGCCCAGGAAGAAGAGGCCGGCAGCAGCGCCGAGTCCTCGTCCGACACCGAAGGCCCACTTTCTCCCACTCATGTCAAGGATCGTAGCCAAGCGGGCGACTCCGTCTCGGAGCCATCTACGGGGGTGAGTTGTGATTTTTTTTCCCTCCCTCTCTTTGGTTGTTGTTATTGTTGTTGTTCTACTGTTGTTGTTGTCATGGTGCTAGCGTTTCCACGGCGCAAAAAAAAGAAAAGAGGGAGGAGATCCAAAGTCAGACGAAGAACAACGGAGATTGAGCTTGGGAACAACACAAATGGGAAACCATCAAAAAAATAAGCCTCCCACAAAAAAACTTTAAACTGGCTGACATTGTGATCATCTAGTCCGCCAACAGCGACTCAGCCGCCACCACCATGCAAGACCTCAACATTGCCGTTGTGGGAGTGCGGGGTTCAGGCAAATCTACCTTTGCCCGACGCGCACTCGGCTTGCCCGAAGCTGCATCCGCAGGCAATTGCTCGCGCAGAATGACCATTGATGGCACCATCTATGTAGTCCGCTTGGTCGAAATGACCTTCACCGACGTGCAACTGGGCGAGCGCGGGAACATCAAGTGGCCAGACAGCACCGACGACTGTGCCACGCCTCGTATCCACGCCGCCGTTATCCTCTACGATGTTACAAACCAGGAAAGCCTGGCTAACGTGCCTGAAATGCTCAGTTAGTGCCCGTTCCAACCCGCCCACGAGGTGCCTCCGCTCCTGCGTCGTGCTAACCATGTTCGCAGATACGTTCAACAAGGTCCAACTGCCGTTCATCTTGGTTGCATGCAAATGCGATCAACACCCCGCTCACCGCGAGGTCGATCCATCCGTGGTGGAGCACAAAGCAAAGTCCTTCATTGGAGACGTGAGCGTGTTTCAGACCTCCGAATCGTCGCCGGAGGCGCACCGAGCATGCCTGTCGGTCATCACCCGCGCAGCAATAGCGGCCAAGCGACGTAAGTAATTCATTTCCTTTTTTTCCTTCCCTGACAAGCCCCCTCGTGACGTGTCGAGCGCGTCCCCCCCATGGCCAGCATTTGTCGTGCCTGTGCACAAGGATGCAAGTCATTGACGTACTTCAGCTCCCTCGCAGGCCTCGATGGCGCGGCGCCGGGCCAATTCTTCCGCAGTACAGTCCAAGACCCAAAAGGACCTTTGGAGCCGCAAACACGAGCGTGCTAGCTCGGAAATCTCCCTCAGGTTTCAACGTAAGCCTAGCGAGATCAAAGGCCACCGTTATAAGCCCAGCGACGTCAACAAAACCTTCTTCAACGCCGACGAGTCGCCCGGCTACGACTCGCAGGATTCCGATGATCAAGATTCGGATGCTGGCCAAAGCATCATGTCGGTGAAGCCCTCTGACGAAAATGGCTACACCTTTGAGCAGCTCGTCGACCGGCTACTGGCACAGCCAATGTCCAAGAATGACACCAAATTCGTCTCCGTCTTCCTCGCCCTGTACCGGAGGTTCGCCACACCAGGCCAGCTCCTCGAGGCCATTATCAAACGCTTCGAGGCTCTCAATAAGGAAAAAGACCTACCCATGATCCGCATCATTGCTCAATTCCGCTACCTGACCATACTACACCAATGGGTTGCCTACTACCCTGGTGACTTTGCCTACCCCACCACCCGCCGCTTGATTCGACGATTTGCTTCCTCATTGGCCTCGAACCGTGAATTCTCCGTTGCCGCAACCGAAATCCTCCGCGATCTGGAAATGGTCACCGAAGATGACGACACCGACTGGGCCTGCAGCGATCGCCAACGGATGCAGAATGAAAACATACCCGCATTCCACAACAACGTACTTGACGAAGACTCGGACGAAGACGAATTCTCAAGAGCTTTGGGCCACATGTCCATGGACGACTCCTCGCGAAACTCCATAGCCCGAAGTAGTTTGACTGGCGGCGCCCCATCTACAAATGAGTCCATGGGCTCATCACAGACCCTCATCACCCAGGTCGAAAAGAACGAACGTCTTGCCCGACAACTCGAGCCCAACCCTGTCAAACCCCTATCAAAGATACAATGGCACCAGTTCATGAATGAGCCAGAGGATGCCATTGCCAGAGAATTGACCCGCATAGATTGGATCATGTTCTCCTCAGTCCGACCACGAGATCTTGTCCGCCACGTAATCCTCAACAACGACGAAAAGAAGAGATGCAAGAACCTCGAAAACGTTACGCGCATGACCGAACATTTCAACTACATTGCACTACTCGTCACAAACTACATCCTCCTCCGCGACAAGCCCAAACACAGGGCACTAATGATGGAGAAGTGGATGAAGATTGCGCGGCAGCTTCGCAAGCTGAACAACTACAACATGCTGGGTGCTGTCATGGCTGGCATCAAGGGCACAGCTGTTATCCGCCTGCATGCAACCAAGGACTTGGTTCCACAGGCCACGACTCAAGATTTTTGGAAACTAGACATTTTGATGAGCCACACCAAATCGCACGCCGCATATCGACTGGCATGGGACAATAGCTCAGGAGAACGAATTCCGTACATTCCGCTACTTCGCCGCGATCTCGTATCCGCCTCCGAAGGCAACTCAACATTTATTGGCGACAAGAAGAAGACGGACTCAGCCTTGGCACCACATCCAGGTGTCAGCGTCTTCGAGGCCGCTGGAGGAAAACGCGACAGCCGAGAAGCATTGCCAGGGGGAGTTGTTGGCAAGGAGAGGATCAATTGGCGCAAGTTTGAGATTATGGGCGAGGTCATTGTCGGCGTGCAACGCGCCCAGGGCACGCCTTATCCAAACTGGCAAAAGTGCGAAGAAATTCGGACCCTGATCCTCGACGTCAAGATCAACAAGGATGAAGAAGTAAGTAACGCACCCTAGACTGGCGTAGTGTCAGGCAGCTAAGAAATCGCACTAGGAACTTTGGGAACGTAGTGCCCACCTCGAAGCCCAAGGAGCCAATGAAAAGGGTAGAATAGCTCGATGGTTTCGAGAGCGTTAGTGCCTCTTTCTTTCCTATTGTCTGCTTGCAGGCGTGTCACATTTTTTTTTCATTCTTAAACTTGGCGATGAGAGCAGAAAAGCTAAGCCAAGGACTTTTAGCTGGGCGTATATCTTTGCCTTCAATGCCTTTAGCGTTGACGTTGACCCACCCGGCGATAGCGGCAGCAACAGCATCAGGCACCTAACACACAAACACCTAACCCCTATGCGTGCATGCAACAAGGCATTGAGCCACAGATACCCAGCAGCAGCACCATCTCATCACCGCCATCGCTTGCATACTCTTTCGACAACGACAATGATTGCAAAGACGCCGCGCCGACTACTCTGATTCGTTTGTTTTTTTCTTTCTGAAAGACATTTGCGCCATCTCCCTCTCTCTCTATATCTCACCTGCCATATATACCCATCTCTGTTCCACCTTGCCCTTCCCCCTCCCACACTACCAAAAGGTGGGGGTGATTGGGGGGACGGCATTTGTAACGACATGTACCTGTGTTTTTTTTTCTTGCTCTTTTTTTTTCTACCAAATTACGAAGCATCTTGGTAGCCCTTGGTCTCTTTGTTTTCTTTCCTTTCTCTGTTGTTTTTTTGTGGGCAACCCTGCACGATACCTCTCTTTGTCTATCCTGTCCTGTCTTGTCCGTCCTCTTTGTCTACTTGTCGGTCTCTCGAAAATCTTCCACTTCTTGTCTCTAGATATCCATGGGCGTGTTTTCTTTTTTTGTACGTACTTTTGGATTTCTTTCACCACAAAGTATATCCACATGATAAACCAAACGAGGTCTTTCGTTCATGATGCCTTTTTGCGTGTGCCATGTGTGGACTTTTCTTTATGGTTGGGGTTTCGAGTATGTGTCTGACGTCTACTGGATATCTAGTGAAGAAGTCCTTTTGCCTTGTTTTTCGTACTTTGTTGGATAAGGATATACGGAGGTGTGTGTTTTTCTCCATCCCAGGAAGGGACAGAGACTCAAGGGAAAAAAGATGTTGGTTGGGATCTACATATAAAAAAACGGGGGGAGTTTTTTTTTCCATCGGATCAAGCTGGGCTAAACTGGCTTCGTTTCTTTTTACCTTGTTTCTCTCTCGCTCTCGGATTTTCTTCTTGATGAGCAAAGCTACTTTTGAAGTGGCTCGCTTTTTGTTTTGTATCCTGTTAGTGGCTCGATACGATGGTATTGAGGAATCCAATAGTCTCTGTTCATGACCTTGTGCGCTGCTTTTTTTTTGCTTGCTGGAATCATGACATGCTTGCTTGAGGGGATATGTTAGACACATGTCATGCCACGACAGCGAGTCACTTGATGGAGAGTAGAAAGAACCAATGCATGGTACATGTATTATTCATCTTGCATATGTAGCCTTATAGTATGTTATGTTGGGGACTCGAACGCCATGATGCATCTATTTGTTCAGCTCCTCAGCCCTCTTCTTCAGCTCCTCCTTGCTCGCGGGCTCGGGCAGGTTCTGGGCAATGACTGGGCCCTATACATACGTATCTTGTTAGCCTCATGAACATATCGCTTGCTCTACCAAGTCCTTGTGAAGCATAGTTTATCGTACCTTTGACTTGAAAGCCTCAGCATGTTGCATATTGCCCGTGTCGTGCATGCCGTGCGACGAAGCCGTCGAGTCCGAAGACTCCTTTGCGATCTTATCGGTGATGCCTGCAGCAAGGTGGAGAGTTAGATTTGCTTTGTGTGTTGACAAAACACTAGGTTAGAGAAGGGAAGACTTACTACCAGGAGCAGACTCTTCAACAGGGTGGTCAGGCATTTTCACTTTTGCTTGTCGGATTTCTTTCCTGCAAGGACTTCTGGGCCGCCAATGTACAAGAACTCGGCTACGTAGGCGTTGACTTTGTCTTGCTCTGTCGTCTCCTCGCTCACGTCGAGCTTCTGGATGTCGGTGGCTAGGGTTGCGGTCTCGGTATCTGTGGGTTCGGTTTGGCTCTGCAGGTATTGCAGAAGCGCGTTGAAGTTTGGCGGTTGTTTTTGTTGTTGCGAGTCAGATGGAGAGGCCATGGTGGACAAGGGGAATGATGCGGGTTATGTAGGCGGCGAAGTAGCGGGAGCGTGATCGGTGACGTAGGTGTGAGGGAGGGTGAGATAGGAGAGCGGGGAGCTTGCAGGTGCGGTTGCAGTTGCAGTTGCAGTGGTGATGGGCGGAGGGCTCCGTTTGGGTTAGTGCGGGGTAGGTCAGTGGATAGTCTTCTAGTAGTATGTACTACGTAGGTAGTTGGGGGCCCGTGGAATCAAAGCCTAGAATCCAAGGTGTGACGAAGCAGAGTAAGGCTACAATGATCTAGCTTGGAAGACTAGAATGTAGGAGCATTTCGTGTTTCCTCCGTGTCATATCGGCATCGGGTGTTGCCGCTGGCTGGGCTATTCTGAGACTCGATTTTGAGACGAGGCTGGGCCTCTTGATGTCTTCTAATCTGTTGAGGCTATCGGTGTATGGGGGATGCTCATGTATTTACTTGCTACGTTGAGAGTTGTGAATCAGCCTACACAGCATACCTGCAATTACAACGACCCACTGTACTATTCACAGATCTTGGAAGCCAGATACCTATGTCCATTTTCTGTGAGACGCAAGTCTTAGTCAAGTGTGTATTGGGTCAAGTTTCTGGTGCAATATGGACGGTACGCGCTAAAAGTAACCTGATTCTGATCTAGCCATTGCATGGTTGCTGTATACTAGACTAGCCATCGCCTATGATGCAAAAGACTTGAGACAAGTCACATGCACTCTGCTGCCGACCTAGCTAGAAGAAGCATGCACATATTCTGTACCCTGTGTATTCGAAAGATGTCCAAGTTTCACCATAAACCAATCAGCATTGCATGCATACACACCTGTTCGTTACATAAGAAGAATAGAAATGCGTAGTATTCCCGGCCTGTCGGATCGCATACCATCTTCTATTAATACGCTTGAACCTGGAAGACTTCTGGACGTTTGACGCCATTTGCTTTGCCAGATGGTGGCGAGGCTGGTGCCGTGGGTGTGTGGAGGTTGATCATGCTCCTTTGCCTTCCCCACCAAGACTCGCCACCTCTTGGTCACATTGTTGGCGACAGCAAACCCCCAAGGTGTGTGTGTGTGTGTGTGTGTGTGTGTGTGTGTGTGTGTGCACCATGGAGGCCAAGCTCAATCCTTGTGCATTTTTACTTGGACACTATAGCTATACGCCGTTCTTTTGACAGTCGGCAGGAAAATGGCGCGGAGAACGAGTGGCCCATAGCGCGCCCAAACTCTATAAGCGGCAGCTCAGCCACCGAAACGCGTCGCAAGGGTGCTTGACCTGCCGCCGCCCCTACCGAGCCTTTGCGACGTTTCGGCTTAAGCAGGCCTTCATTCAGGGACACCAGCCTTCACAGTACACACAATTCTTCCTCCCTCTTCTCAGGCTCTCCCATGCTTGACCCCCTTCCCGATTGCCATATACCCGGGAGCCATGTGAGGCCCGTTGTCTGCCGTCGATCGTCATAAGCCTAGTCTCATCATCAACGTCGTATCGCAATTCAACTTTCACGTTATACCCGCTGGTCGGAACACGTCTTCCTGACGCCTCCGTCTCCGCGTAAACTGTGACTTTGCTGTTACGCCCCCTGCCATCGCGATGCCGTCGTTACTCGGGACCTCGCTGTTGGCGCGCCAGAACCCCCTGGACGACGCGAGGAACACCTTTTCGTCATGGGACAACTGCATGGCCAAATCCTACTGCAAGTGCGTAGAAGCGGCTCTCCTTGCCCGATTTCCCTTTGCTCACATACAATAGATGGCCAGTTATTGTCGGAATCATCATTGGTGGTCTCATCCTCTTCTCAGTGATTACTTGCATTGCGCGATGCATATGTTGCGGCGCTGAGTGCGCCTGCTGTTGCTTTAGATGCTGCGCTTCTTGCTGTGGCGGCGGTCGCCGAGGAAGCTCGCATCAGCGCATCAAGAGTGACTCTGGACGTCCATATCCTCCTCAATCGTATGGCCCACCGCCTCCTCAAGCGAACCCTTATGCGCAGGCGCATGCTGCCGCGCCACCTCCACCAGTCTTCAACCCGCGACTTGCAAACCAGCAGCAATACCAGTCCAACCCCATGCCCACCTTTACACCTGCCCCGCAACAAGAAAGACCGCAATATGCCACATTCGATTCATCCAAGCCTGCAGCAAACGAAGACTCCCTTCCAGCTATGCCGACGTGGAAGGAAGGACGGGATGTGCACGTAGAGGTAGAGGAACAGCCAGTGCCGCAAAAGAAGGGAGACATGGAGTTGGACAGGCTAGATCGCAATGGTAGTGTGACAAGCGGATCCATGGGAGGCGTGGCAGCAGCAGCAGTACCTGGAGCAAGACGATCTCCTGGCCCGGGCAGGTCCCCAGTTTCGCCAGATTATGGATATCAACAAAACAACTCGTTTGTGAGCGATGCCCCGTCTTACAACAACAACCAGGGACAGTATGGTCAGCCATATGGCCAGCAAGGTGGATATCGCCAGGGCTCGCCTGGACAGGGTCGATCTCCAGTGTATGGAGCCGGTGCAGGGTACGGCCAGCAGCAACAGCAACAGCCATATGGTCGACGTTCACCAGGACCATCCCAAGCATACGGTTCCCACGACCAGCAGAGCCAACAGAGTGATATGCACGCACCGTACCAGGAACTGCCAACGTCCTACAACCAACCCCAGCAGTCATACAATCAACCACAATCATCTTACAACCAACCGCAGTCATACAACCAGTCAGCGCCCTACAACAACCACCAAGACACTTACGACCAACGAGACTACCCCGATGAGCCCACGCACAACTACTCATCCCAGGCACCCGCCTCCAACGCATACAACTACAACGCAAGCATAGCCCCCTCGTACCACACCTACGACCCAGCACCACCGCCCGTGCAACCCCTACCCTCACCACCACCACAATCCTCGGGCCCCCCACCATCCCTCACCCCCGGCCGCCCTGCCCAAACAACCTCGCCGGTATCAGCGTACCCAGGCCAGAGATCCTACACTCCGGCTGCGGACACAGTAGCGCCACCACAACAACAAGCACCGCCGCAGCCTTCGTACCGAGCTTTTACCCCCGGAGCTGAGACTCAGCAGCAGTCACAGCAGCAGCAGTATGGGGGCGTAGGCAGGAAACCAATGGATGGGTCATACAGGGATATATAAGAGGGTTTTGTGATGTGTACAAGTTTAGTTTTTTTAGTTTTTTTTCTCTATGTTGTCTGAATATTCTGGTGAATCTTCTTCCTGATACCCACCCTTTTTTTTTCTTCAACCTCTCAAGTGTGCTTTTTTTTCTTCTTTTCTTATATCTGTGAAGTTTAGTGGTGTGATTTCCCTTGTTTGTCATTTGTTGGGTAGTTGATGGGGCTTTTTTTTGTTGATTGGGTTTATTGGGGGAAAGCATGTGGCTGTTTCATTTTTTTTGGTGGCTTGTCGTGAAAGTTTAGTTTGGGTTAGTTTAGTGAGTTAGTAGTTAGGGCTAAGATTGTGGCGACGGCGTAGTTGGGAGACTTTGTAGACTAGAGATTCGTAGTGTGGAGACTAGGAACCGCAAGTATCATGACTTCACAAAGATGAGCAAATTGAGTGAACTCGTAACGTGATTAAAGTAAGGTCCATTCGTACAAAGCTGGGGGTATCAATCTATGCGCAGGTGGAGCTATCAAGAAAAGAAAGAAAGCCATGTTCTCGACTTGCCACTCCCCCTTTGCATCCATCTTGTCGAGCTAGACCATACAATAAAAAAGTTAATACAGACGATCAGAAAAAAAAGAGGTCGTTCGCTCGCTTCCATGCCATGATCATTACCACATCGTCCATCATCTTCCACTCCAAAGGGTATAACCGCTCTCTCAATACAGCGAAAAACAACAAAGGGAAAAGTAGTCCTTGGCAACGCCCATGACACGCACCGACCGTTCGAGTCCCAGCCGTCACGGTGGTTGTTGCGCGCTCAAGGTGCAGCCTCAGTAGTAGTACCCGTATCTTCTCAAGCGCCATGCTGACAGGGTAGAACGGTATCCGCGTCAGTCAAGCGGAAGAGAGGTACTGGGACGCAGGACTAGACTCTACTCGTGTGCGTTGTCCTCCTACGTCCGCCGCCGCCACGGCCGCAAGTCAGGCAGCTGATGATGATGCCGAAGAGCGAGACGATGGCGTTGATGATCGCCTTAAGACCAGCAGCGATGGCGTTGACAATGGCCATGATGCAGTTTCCGATGGTGCGGAACTAGAGTGGAATGTTAGTTTAGAGAGCTTGAGGGTGTATGTGAGAGCAGAAGTAGACGTACGATTGACTTGATGCAGGATACTACGGCACCCATGATTGCGGTGTTCTTATTGGAAGACGGCTAAGTGATGTTTGTTGTTTTTGTTGGCGGGATGGGTTGGGAGAGAAGAAGATTTGTTGTATAGGTATATGTGAGTGGTGTGTGTGGTATAGGATGGAGAAGAAGCAACAAACAAAGGTGGTGAAGGGAGCTTATATTGTGATTGTGTGAAGTCAGCATAGGCGGTTGCACAAACGCTACGTCACAAGCGTCCGTGCCTGGGTGCTTGCTGATGCTCGCTGTTCGCTTTCCGCATCTCATTTCTCGATAGTACGTACATACACCACACCTACTACACCGCAACCCAGCCTGCAGCAGCCGCAGCCCGCCCCTCCCATTCCCCTTTGGGGTGCATGGCATATCGCCCGCTAGTCAAATTTTCCGTCAAAGCCCATCATGGGCCTGCCAGCTGACTCTGGACCCGTTTCTGGCTCTGGGGCCTGCGAACCAACACACGCACAACGACGCGCAAAAACGTCAGTGGGAAAGGCAGGTTTTGCATATGGACAAGGCGTGACGCAAGACATGGGATTGTCCCCTGCCTTGCACGCGTGAAGGTGGATCTACCGCCACAACCTTAAACAGAGCATCGACGTCACTCTTGGTCCCTGAAACGGAAGCGATCGCTAACACCACCCCATCAACCACCCTGCCATCACACACGCTGTGCCCAAAGCAGGTAGCCCGACATTTACTCTCGCTACGCCCATATTGAATCGTTTGGCCAAATCAGCCTACCATTCAACACACCCACTCATCTCAAGCCTTAGTGCAATCACAATCTCCGCGTCTAGCCCTTCTACTTTTTTCTTATCCGGCAACGTTATACCGGCTGGGCTGCCAATATCCTCCAGAAGACGATACAACAAGTCAGGGTGACGTAGAACCTGTGGCTCCCGCTCTCGAACCCATGGGTCTTCGCTTGTTCAACCCAGCGAGTGACGCCACAGATCCGAGCAAAGAAAATGCACGGGGCGGTTATCGGGAACAAGGTCTGACTTTTTAGCTTCAAAGGGACATGGGCATGAGAAGGGCCCCACCGCATTTTCGCGTTTCCCATGTCTCGATCGCGTTCGATCTTTTCTTTGGCAAGGGGAGTGATGCGCATGTTGTCATTGTCCCGTAAGCGGAAGTGAGTTTCTTTCAGACTGCACTCCAAACGATAACAGGTTGTTTTGGCTAAAGTCTGCTATCGTCATTTTAATTCCCCAAATCCCCAGGGTCGCCCTAGCTTTCCCGCCTCGAGCTTGTGGAAATTACGGTCGGTCCTGGTCAGCTGCTCTGCAACAACAATCCACTAGACAACCCGTTTTGGCCATGTTGGCGCGCTATGGGTGTGTTAGCGCTGGTGCTGGGTGGATTGATGTGGCTGGTGACGCCCGTTGGCAAGCTCGACACCGCTCATGGACTTGTGCACCACAGGTGGGTCTGGAGCCGAGGCCTTGTCCCGACGACATCACATATTCCCAGCCATGCCAGCACTATCGCATAGCCGTCTTGACCTCTTGTGCTCTTGTTTGTTGTGCTATACTCATTACGCATATGTCATAAACATGCCACGGCCAGCCTCCTAAATACAGCCCGGACACGATACCCGTTGTAATGTCATAGACCCGTGACTAATGACGTCTCGTTGAAGAACAGGAAGTCTTCCATTGTCCTTTCATCGCCATATACACTCCCAGCCGATAATACAGAAACCCTCATGTTCCTGACACTGGGTTGAGATACTAATGCTTTGGAGCTATAGTGTCCAGGGCTATAGCAAACAAGGCTTCGCTGCCAGCCTTGTCATCCACCTTGACACTGTTCCTATTTCAGAATGATCAAAAGCCGTTGTGAGAAAACGCGCTCGCATATTCCGTATATCGCTGCTGTAGTATGACCATACTGTTTCCATTAACGCGCTTCCCGACAAGATGGTGTCCCCGGGAGAGAGCGGGAGTGTACATCTCCCCACTATTCAATCTCCAGTCTTCGTCTCAAACTTTGTTCTAGAGATCGTCTTCAATCTACCCAGCGCCACATGCTCCACATGCTCCATTCCACCCCCGTCTGCATACCAATACAACAGGAGCGCGGGAGTATCCGATCGCTTGATCGAAGCCCCACAGGGACTTGGCTTTCCCTCGAGCTTCTCTACATGCCTTGCACTTGATCGGGGAGCAAGTCTAGTATCACTCATAGCCCTGTGGCGTCTAGATTCTGTTGCGTCATTAAGGTCGTTCCCACTCCAGTTTGCACGATGTAAGCGAGCTGCTCGTGGTAGTAAGCTCGAGTATGAGGCTTGTGATTGGAAGCTGCCTGTTCTGCTGCGCTGTAGCAGAGATCTCGGCGAATCTGAGACTAAAGTGCGATCTGGAGATAATAATGGAGGGGATGGGTAAGGGATCTGGGAGATCTCCTCCATGAATTCGGTGTCTTCGTCTTCGATCTTGGCCACACGCTTTACTTGCTTTACTTGCTTTACTTCAAAGTATGGGGTTCTCGCGACACCGGTTATGATATCCTCTGGGTCTGGGCGCTTTCTCGATCGCGGAACATCTTGCTATGCAAGAGCCATGTGCTCAAAATATTTCTTGCGGGTTGCAGTCCAACTCTTTGGCTTCATTTCTGTACGGTCTCGTGACATCGACATGTAGCTCGAAACAGCGCCAATGAAGATGAGTATCATGACTGCAATAGTCAAAAGGCCCTGGATAACAATGATGACGATCCCAATCACTGTCGCGGAAATGCGGGCGATACTGAAGCGCGGATCAAACGCTGCAGAAAGCGCGGCTGTAGTAACCTTGCTGAAGCCGAGGAGATATATCGCTATTACATTTAGACGTTGTCCTTCAAACGGCCGGAGGAGAATAAACGTAACGAACGCAATGGTCTCGATTGCCAGTAGACCAAAGACCTGCACAGTAGGCTGACTGGAAGCCCCAGCGAGAAACCCAGCTCGGAAGAACTCGTAGAGTAGCCAGACGGCAAAGAACCACCATCGACTTTTTCGATAGCGAGATACAAGCCATCCAAACCTTGCTGTATACGCTTCATCGGAATGAATCGATGGCAAGTCCGTCGTGGCATGTATCCTCCACCACGGAATCGAGATGCTGCACCACGGTATCACCTTAGTTATTTGATGCTTCGATTCGTTGATCTGGTCTCGCTCGAAAACATATCCTCTGAGACGCAACCTGGAGAAGCAAGCGTACGCAGCAACGCTACCGAGTCCAAGCACCATAGTTACAAAGACTATGCAGGTGACAGCGACGGTTCCCGGTGACGCTGGCAAGGAAAACTGGTATATGCAGAGGAAACTTATCGTGAAAAAGCTGATGAAGATGGTGCGCAGTATTGTTACAACAATGTAGGCAAGATAGTGACGGCGAAAGTACTTGAGGCGATTCTGGCGTATAATGCGGAGACTGACCGATATCTCGACGATTGCTTTCAGAGAGAGAATTGAGATAATGGCGCATGCGGATAAGAACAGAAGCCAGAGGAGCTCGGTCAGAAAGGCATTGCGGACTGGAATTCGCTGCGTCGCAAGTGTGCCTGCAAACCCAGAGTAGTCGCCCGGAAGTGGTAATTCAGGCTTGACTTGCTTTCCGGAGTACTTGAATCCGCCGTTAATATCGGTTAGGTAACGCTTGTTGACAGTGTTCTGGAAACCGAGCTCGGTAGGTAGAGTATCTCGTCCATATATCCGATGAATATAGACTCCTCCAATATACGGATCGTTTTGAGCCGCACCAGCAACATGATTCCGTACCCCATTCCCCTCTTTCACACTGACAAACCTATCAATCATACTCTGCATTGGCTCATAGTATATCATTCCCCCCACCCAAGCATAATTGCTCCAAAAAGCCACCAGAACACTCGGCCAATCCATCTCAAGCGCCCCGCTGTAGAAAACATACTGCCACACGGAAAACACAACAGAAACCGACATGGAATGCGCATAATGACTCCGCATACCGAGCACATCATCGCCACACGCAGCAGTGGCAAACGACGCCGCAATCGCTACAAGCGTGAAAACAGCTACAACAGTCCCAACGCAGTACTGCCGTCGAAACGTCCACCCATTCGTAATCCCCGCTGCAAACAACCCAACCTCGCTTTCCGTCTTATTCGCAAACACCCGGAGAACAGCCTGGCCCTCGAAGTCCGGAATACCCAGTGCCACCTCCGGGATCCCTGCTACATCGGCCGGGCTAATCAGTATCATACCCGCGGCTTCGATGGGAGTTCCCGGTCGAACGGGACACGCGCTTTTCATTGCTTATTAGTAGTGTTATCGTGATAGGGAAACAAGGGGGGGGTGGTTTTACCTCCAGATATTCGCGTCACACGGGTTGAAGGTGAGTGAGAAACGAGGCTCGCCGTATGCGAAGACGGCAATGTTGAGCATGACGTGGTCTTGTAGTGTCGTCTCGCCGCGTAGATGGAACATGATCGTCATGTTGTCTTTGTAGTACGCTGCGTCGAAGCGAGTGATGTTTATGGCGCTGTTGCTGAGGCAGTCTGTGTAGTCGGTTGTGTAGAGGGATGGCTGGCGGTCGTCTCGGACGAGGCTGCGGATGCCGTTGATTGTTGCGCGGACATATTCGATCGGTTTGGCAATGGTGAAGTCGCTAAATAGCGGGAGTAGTAGGTAGATTGGTAGCAGAAAGGTGGTGTTCTGTTGTATGCGCATGCTGGCATAGGTGGTGGTGTATTGAGATTGCGGAGTGTGTAAACTGTAAACTGTGGGCGAAAGCTTTATGAAAGCTGGGTAGTTTCTTGTATATATGCTTGTTTGTTTGCTGCAGTTTTATAGTTGCGTCTGGAAAAGTCTTAGTTCTTTGGCATGTTTATGGGCCGGCGTAGGAGAAAAGTGAGCAAACTCAATGCGGAGTGAAGGTACCATCGTTGGGATGGCATCAGGCCTCAATATAAGTTGTTCTGTCTGCAATAAGTCTATGCAAGCAGGAGCATTTCATCATTATTTAGGGGCGTCTTCCAAGTTCTTTCCAGCCTAGTCACTGTACAATGTTTGTTTAGCATTGGCAAACTCCGGCAACCCCATAGACCCCTAAGCAGAGCATATACTCAGAGAAGAACTTGGAAGGGTTTTCATGTTACGTGCGCAATAAAGCTCACGATTGATCCATGGCTTGACACAAAATTAAACGAATGTTGTTGAGACAGGAGTAGGTGCATTTCAAAACTAGCTCTTCGCTCTTGGGTATCTCATTGTGCGCATCCGATCACCGACTCTGTGCTACTGCGCTACCAAAATTTCCGTCATACCTTTTATCAATTTAATCATCATTTGCCAAAAGTGCCTTTGGCTTTTACACACAACTCCCCCTTGATATTCTCAAGGGTCGCAATAATCTCCTGATGGGAAGCCTGTGGCTTCTTTGTGAGGTCCTTCTTTGGTGATAGCCATCCCAACCAGCTCTTTGTAGGTTCAGACTCCGGCTCAGGCGGTGGTTCAGACTGTGGCAGATCAGGTTTGGAGAAAGCAGCGCGTATGACGTAGAAATCGAGGCTGTACGTAGGTTTCGCGTAGGTCAAGGAAAGGGAGTCGGGGCGATGGGCAGATTCTGGGTGTTCTTGTCAGTGGGAACCCTGGGTGTGAAATGGGGTATGATTGCATCAATGTACATACCAATAAGTCCATCAGGACCCTTCGCCATCCTGGCAAAAATCTCCTCAAAGATAGTCGCTATAGCCCCTCCATGCGCGACGCCCGGCCAGCCAGTCAGTCCTCCTCCAATCCATACTACCGCTACCATCTCTCTGGTCTCGGCATTCCAAAATGCCCTCTGCACTCCTAATCCCCTTGCCCCACCCATAGCACCCAAAACTCCTTTCTTCCCGTCATTTTCCCTACCAAAATCTAAATCCAGCTCTAGCCATCCTTTGTAAGCTGATATCTTCCGACTTCCTGGAGCAGGTGCAGATGTCAATCCTGGTCCTGATCGGAGGGCAGTATCGGTGTGTAGGTTGTATGATTGCGATCGGAGTGATTGTACAATCTCCAGAGCGTCGACGTCGCGGCTGAGGGAGTTAAGGATTAGGTCATCATCTGGCGATCCGGGCTCAGGAAGACCGAGGGGCGCAGCGAATTGACGGGCACCCAAACCAGTTGTTATTCCTAGAGCGAGGATGCTGGCGTACCACAGGTAGGACCAGCGGATGCGGGATTGGAGGGGAAGCTCGAGGACTTGGGCATTGCGGGGGTGGCGGATGAATTGGCGCGAAGCTCTGCAAGGCGCTGTGAAAGGAGTGCGATTGAGGAGAAAGCGCGCTCGAGACATTTTGTATTCTCAACTGCATATATCGCAGTCAGTGATAGATGGGACGGAACCTTGAGTTGGTGACAGGGATTAGTTCACCGAGGCTCAACTTTAGTGGCTTGGCACCCCAGGTGCTCGACTTGCGAGCGGCATTATTCCGCCATACTACACATTTGGATGCATTGTTTTGGAAACAGCCATTGCAAGTATATACGGTCAATAAGCATTAAACGTTATCATTCCCTATACATATCGAACCATACTAATATAGATTATCACGATTGCTCCTTTTCTAGCTTTCCTGGTCGTTGTTTATCATCCACCAGTGTAATGTCCAATGCCCCTATGTCAACATCGTGGAACATACGAACCTACACAGTCTGTTAGCTACATTCTATCACCAACTAAACAAGCATACGGCATACATTCATACCCAGCAAATCGGGTCCAGTCTCTCCAAATCGCCACATTCTCGGATCAAACCAAACTGCGCTCCCACAGTTTGCACAAAACTTGTGCAAATTTCTTTTCATTCCAAAAGAATAGTCCCTTAGCATATCTTCACCGCTCTTTATGTGTAGCTGCGACCTCTCGGGATACACTAGCAAGTAGCCGTTGCGAGTGCAGATGCTGCAGTTGCACGATACGACCTTCCACTGGGGTAGTGGTGGGGAGAGAAGGACCGAGTACTGTACAATACCGCAGTGGCAACTTGCCGCGTAGGTTTGACAGTTTTCCGGATCAAACTTGGGGAGAGACGGTTTGGTGCTTTGTGAGTCGGTCATGACGATGGCTGGTGGTGGTGCAAAGGTGGGGTTCAGAGAGTAGTTGAGAGTATAGCCAGTAAATCTCTCCTCAAGTGAAGCGCATACTACATATATTGCCTTCAATATAGGCACGAGGGCATAGACGGAACGGAAACCGCCGTTTTAGACGGAAGCTATGCTCAAGACTGCGAGTGATTAGCAAAGAGGGGTGGTAGCCTTGGTTACAAAAAGTCTCCGTCTCCGGAATCCGGCGAGCAAATGTCTCCGAGGCCGCCAGAAAGCAATCGAGGATATATGGAGAATCATGAGAGTAGCAGGTTATGATGCTGTCATTAAGAATCCACCGGGGTCATGATCTAGCCAGCTTCTGCATAAGAACATCTTACTCGAGAAATTATTCGAAAGCTAGACGACTCTAAACAGAAAAAAGATAATCTCATTTGTTCATACAAAGTACAATCTAAAATTAAGTATCGCCTGAAATCACGTTACGATTCACACTATATAGTGGACTCTAACGAGGTTTCGTGCAACAATAATTTCTGCAGTTACAGGTCACAACGTGTCAACCTTCGAATCTCCCACCCATTACAACACGCATGACCATAGTGGGAAGCAGCTTTAAATAGAAATTTCAAAAAGTTGTTCATCGAGAACAAGATAATACGAGACATAATATAGAGATTGAAAACCTTCAAAGACATATACCCACTATGGACATTTCAATTAATTCACTGCCGCGACAGCCAGAAGTCCCCACACCAATCACTGTCCTGATCCCAGAAAAGCCCAATTTCCTACCCCAGCATTTATCCCCAATCACCATACTTACACAAACTTACCTCTTCACTGCGTCAGTCCCCCAATCTCGTCCGACCACCTCCTATATCTTGTAGAACCACATTCTCCCATCCACATTCCAAAAAACAGCTCGTACGACACCGCGCCTCCAAAATACAAGAGGCAAGAAAAGTCGGAAAAGGAAGTCGGCAAGTTCCACCGTTTCCAGTTACGAACATCAGCCCACAAAATCCAACTCATTGCCTCAATTCCCACCGATTTCCACCCCCAGTCTTACATACCGATCCCGTGTCACCAGACCTACTGTCTGCGACTCGCAGAAAAAAAACGCCAAAGGCGCACATTTCTTTGAGGTGCGATTGGTTGCATGGTATACGCGCTAGTGGAGCTGGGAGTCGCTGTTGTACGGCGGAGAAGAGGGCTTGAATGGGGCTGCTGGTCTTGTGTAATGTGATAGCCATGGACTCCGATTCGTGTCTTAGGTTGGAGGCGCTATTCTGGGGCGGGTGGTGGTATCCGGGGACTTGGGCTGGGTGGGTGGGTTGGTATGAGGGTTGCTTGACTGTTTGTGGGAGCGGAGACGAGGGCTATTGGTGTTAGGGTTTCATTGGGCATTTTGAGAGTGTTCTCTGTCGAAGGTAGTGAATTTGGAAGAGAGATTCATAACGAAGCTTCGAAAGTCGGCGAAGGAGATACTATCCTCGGATAGGAAACGGGAAAATCCGTACGTCTTTCGTGTTGATATTGTGAAAGACGAGTGAGAAAAATTAGTGAAAAACAAACCACATTGATCAGTGAAGGGCATTACCCAAGGACAAGACGTTGAGAAATTTCTACCAACACACAAAATCGTCTCTTTCTACGCTACCTGTTGATTCTAAAGAAGTGATCATAATCCTCTTGGCTTGTATCTGAGATCACCTAACTACATGTGTTGCTTTACATCACTTATTACTTCAGCCGTTTAAGCTAAGAAAATTCTAAGAGACTCAAGAGTAGATGAGTTATCACATATATTGAGTGTATGGTTTAACAGCAGCCAGTTCAATTGCAATGGCTCAAATCTCACTAGAAACATCTCGTCGTTGTTCTTACAGAGTGCAATACGTTGCCATTATGTACAAATATCCATGTACTCTTTTTAACGGTTTTTAATATACATCTTACTAAGCAGCTTAAATGTTCCTATACCATCATCATTCTGTCGTGTGATAGAAACACGATAAGACCTCTGTGTGAGATCACTTATCTCGCCAGTAATAGGATTTGAAAAGAAGCAGCCTAGAAGACCTCATGTTCAATTTTGCAATGCATACTGAAAGATGCTCAACTTAACATGCATCACCAACTCACGACTGAACTCGATCGTCAACTGAAATTGATCATGGTAGCGTGATTGAGACATGTCACCAAGATCGCAGTTCAACATTTCAAATCCTTGCGAAAGCAACCATATACTCTGTATGAGACTGAGTCTGAGCTTCAAAAGTCCCATACAATGCATTGACCTTGTCTATATTTGCGTTCGCCACATCTGCAAGGCCTTCTTCTGCCTCAAGGCCTCTTATCAAAATAATAACAATGTATTGATAATTCCTCGACATCGATGTCCATCGCCCCAGCCTCACTCCAGACGCCAAAAGTAAACACAAATATTCAAAACAGCACAAGCTCCAGAGCGGGGTGCCATGTTCATACATACTAATCAATCGGATTCCGAATCCATGCATCTCCTTCCTTACTTTGTACTGGAAACAAATTCTGGATCAGCCAAGTCGTGACTTGCTCTACCGGAAGAAAATCCGTCATCAAATCAGCATGTTGCCCATCAAACGGCACGCACAAGGGTACTGCAGGTGTAAAACCTGTTACCGGTAAATAGACCACCATCGCGAAAGCGAACCCCGCGGACAAAAAAGCCAGCCCAAGAAAAGCAAAACCCGACGCTCCTGCACTGCAACTGCACCGGCATGACGTGCTCATGATGCATATCGTTAATGCCGACATCACGCCAATCCAAGATTTACTGATCAAGAGAATGCAGGGCAAGGGGGGCGATGAGCGATTGATTGGAAAAAAGAATCAAGACTACATGAAAAGAAGAAGAAAGAAAACAAGCGAGCAAAATAAAAGACCAGGTTCATTCAAAAGCAACGGCCGTATACCTGGACCCTGTGTAGGATTCAGGGTGACGGAAAGCAAAAAGCCCGTACCACAATAGCAGCAAGCAAGCAGCCCGAGAAAAAAACCAAATTAGATGTTCATGACGGAACCTGAAGAAGGTACGGGAAGGGTACGTACGATAGCCGAAGCCAAAAGCAAACGGCCACCGTTTCTTTTCCCTCCATCCCCTCTCCCCCGTCCACCTTCCTCTTTCCTTTTCCCATGCGCAGCGTGCAGCATGCATGCACGTCTTGCTTGCTTCTTTTCTTTTGCGCTAGAAAGAGGGAGGAGCAGGAGCGAGAGGGATCAAGGACAATGCGTGCGTGTGTGCGACGCAACGTTTCGGAAGGTAAAAAGCAAACTTTCCCAGAACAAGCAAAGAATCACTACAGAAAGAAGCAAAAGACGATATCCCACATACCCGCTCCAACCATTCCCCTCCCTCCCACTCAGAGGCGAATACAAAAAAGAAAAGATGAAGCGAGATAGAAGCCCGGAGCTTACCCGTACCGTTCCCCCTTCCCTTTCTCGCCTTTTCGCGGGGAGCACACACACACACACACACCCTCCTTCCACCCAAACCAAAACCGGTAGAGTAGAACCAATCTTCCCCTACACCTAGTAGCACGCGAAACCATGGCAATCTTTCCAGAAATTCGCTCAGATCTTTTTTTTTCCTTCTTTCACCATATCGGCAATCACACGTTACCATCTCATCCAGAAGATTCCGTGTATCCAAACCCCCCACCCCACCCCGCTTTTTCTTTCCTTTGCTTTGCCCACGGATCCCGTATACATCAGCTTGGAAGTGAAAAAAAAGAAGGAATAGAGAGAAAGAGGGATATAGAACCCCTGCCGCACCCCCCCACTTGTTTTGGTTTTTTGTCCATTCAGGATTAACAAGCCATTGAGGAGATGCAGTGAAGATCCAAAAGGCCGATACGAGGTGCAGTGATTGAATTGTTTTTCCTTCTTTGGGTAGTTTTTGGCACTTGCTTCTTGTACTGTTCTGCGTATACCTGCCTGTACGCGGGATGTGGGCGTTTATTTCTTTGAGATGGTAAGGGGGGGCATGGTAACGTCATTTGGACAGTGCGGCGGCGCCCTTCTTTTTTTTTGGCTGGCCTGGGGCTTGGGGGCTTGTTATGAGGCCCTGTAGGCTGCAGTTTCTTGCTTAATTTGTGAGTCTAGCTTGATGTGACGTATATGGGATTTTGAAATGGCCGGCTCAAGGCTTGGAGTGAAGCAGGCTACTTGTCTACCGGTGGAGAGGAAGGGGAATCCGTATGGGGTCTGTCAACGTTGTACGGCTCCAAGACAGCCGTATCTTCTGAACTGTGGAATGCCCAATCAATTGATAGACTGTGATTTTACAAACACAGAGAATTATAGGGTGGGATGGAATGTGACGTTACAAGCCCAGCAAGTGTAGCTATGAGCCTATCAGCCTATTCTCTTACAATAACTTACCCGAGAAATGGACTGAAAACCGCAATAAAATCTATTCAAGTAGAAATTCACTCAGTATTACGCTCTCATACTACATCAGACCCATCTGTCATGACAGACAACTAAATAAGGCAAAAAAAAAGGGTTGAGTCTGAAAGACAGTCAGCACACTCACCGGCCATCCAAACACCAAAGTAATACACAGCAATCACTATCAGCGCTTACAGCTAATGTGACGTGTCTGTCTACTTTTCTTCGCATTGAAGACTTAATTCGGCAAGTACGTAACCGCGATGCAAGGGCAAGCGTTAACTCAGAGTGGGGAGGGGGCCTAATGGTCAGCACCGGTCTACAAGCGACAACAAAATCCACCCCCTGTAAGGCCTTCGTGTATGTATGTGTGTCACGATGGATTGCATAGCATGCCACACAGGTTCAGCCTGACGCAACTAGTTCGGTCTCGCCATGAAACCTGATCACGCTGCGATTCGGATGGTCGATGACAGAGCGGTAACTCGGTATCCCGCCTCAGGCTAGGTGATGCTCGATTTCAAATGCGTTCTCGTCTTCTTATCGGAGCAAGTGGCGATCCGATCTGGAGGGAGGAACTCGATGAACAAGTTGCTCATAACACTGCAACTCTTCAGCATGGCCAGACAAGCTGGACACGTGTTCAACGTACAGATCGATGTGAAACTGGGCCCTGTGACGTTAAATTCTGTTACAGTAAGTCAAGCGTGACTGTAACATTGTCGACTCCGCTCAGGTAAGCCTGCATCCATTCAAGCTGGGCACTTACGCCCCGTCCTGCTTCTGCTTCTATCCAAAGACGCAAGCGCAGATGATCAATACAGATATGCATATTCTTAGCAAAGTGAGACAAACTGTGGGTATCAAAGCAAAAGTAAGGAAGAAAAAAACCCTTGCTTGATCAGTTGCTCCGGGCTCCACTGTCGTTGGATCATCGTATAAGCAAATCGAGGAAGTACCGAGTTGGCATCTCTGCTTCTCCAAATCCGAAACACTGAGGATGTAAGCTGAGTGTACATGCACACTCAACACATGTATTGGTTTAGAGACAGGACAAGGTTATCGAGACCGGTATCTTATGTTCAAGCGGAGCAGCTAGTCTTCTGACTTTACTATGAAGCCGAAAAGGGACTCTTTCTCCCTCGTGCGGCATGAAGGAGACCCGAAAAGAGCTCTTATCGGTCTGGCCCCTCATCAGCATCAAAGTTTGTCATAGCCTGTTGGATGACAAAACTGCGTGCGGAAAGTTTCATCTGTACTTTAGTCGCCAGGCAGCACAGCCCATCAGCTCACCTCTCTATACGGGATACCGCCGGAAAAGGCCAACTTTGTTGCATGTTCCAATTATGGGGCGCCGTAGTCATTGGTATTCGCCATCGCCAAAGACTCAAAGAATGAAAAAAGCGCCTTGTTCGAATGGGGATGAAGCAGGACAGCTTGCATTGGACAAAGTCATCTTCCGAAGCGCCATCTACACAGTAGTGCGCTCAACGCACCCACCACCGCCGCCGCCGCAAGCCCACTTGGTGATTGTGTGCCGTGTTTCTTGGCAATCCTTCTCTACCTGACGCCCGACAATGAGTGAGTTGCAGCAACGAAAGCCAGCCACTCTCACAAACAAGCATACCAAGCGAAAGCAGGGCCAAAATGGCCCCCGAATAACCGGGACCAACGAGCGCCAAGGCGTGGTTGGAGGTCAGACGGCGTGCTCTGGTTGTAGCCATCGTGCTTGGGGCTAACCTTGCTGCACGTCAAGTGTAAGCCGCAGTAATCACAGGCAGCCGTGCTTGGATACTGGTACACGGGATTGGCGATCTCGCAAGGAATACCATTGCTTGTGTAGATATGTAATCATCACAGCACGGTGATTTCCTTGCAGCTGCCACACACATAAGCAACCAACTCTAACAATGTTACACTCAGCGACATGTATGCATTCTCACGAGGCAGCCGAGCAGATTTTCATCCGGCAGACTGAGACATGACTTGTTGAGGAAGCGTGGGAAGATTGCGAAAACGGTGACAGAAATGGAAAAAGCAAAAATTGCTATCGCTGATTGGATGAGTTGGGCATTTCTTGCATATGCAGAGTGAGTTGTAGCATCAGGCCAGGTCGGATTGATATTATGTCGCCTCGCCCTAAGCGTAGTCCAATTACTCTCCAGTGCGATGGCGTTGGGGGATGCGCGCGTGCGTAGAGTACGAGCAGATGAGCATCGTCGAGAGATAGTACTGAGAGCATAGCGTCAGGGTATGCACGTTTTTACGAGAATGGATGGATGAAACCAAGAGAGCGATACTGGCTGCTCATGATTGGTCCAGGCCACCCGATAGCGTGTGGAGAGCTGGTCGGCCTTGGGAATGCCGGACCCAGACCATTGGCGGAGATTTTGCAGACTGCGCGCTTGTCCACCAATATGGATGCACGAACAGCCGAGAAGGATTTGGCTGTCGCCTCGATGACCGACAGCCAAGCGACTACTACATGTTTGGGCGAATAGCGTTTCACCTGTGCATGTTATTTTGTTGACAGATATTGTGTCAGCGCCCGGTCGACTGCGCACCTGGGCACCCCATCTAGATGCAACTCATCAGGTGTTCTTTCGACCCATGATGGAACAAAACTTGCATGGGCGAGTCAGAAATGGCCGTCTTCTGGCTGGACCGTCCGGAAGTGGGCAAAAGACTCGGCAACGGCAGTCAACTGGTGACCAAAGCGGATTATCCTCCGACGACAGCAAAATATCGTACAACGGTGTACCCTGTGTACATCATCGATCAGTGGCGCACTTGCCAGACGGGAAGGCTTTTGCGGGCGTTTAGCTTAGCGGGCATAATAAGTGGTGCGTCCTGGTTCAGGCAAAGAACAAGGTGGCTGGCAAAGATCAGCGAGATCCTGGGTGCGGAGTTGAGATGATGGCGTCCGCCACACAGACGTATGGTTGAGGGTATGCCTTTGATGCAGGTACAGTCTTAGCAGACCGGATGCGATGCCGGCACATACAAAGCTTGGGCTTGTATGTATTCACGGCATGGCCGTGACTCCAACATGAACGTAATGGGCACGTACGCAGCTTTTGCTCGGGGAAATCAGCACGCGTGCGGCGAGTTTTTGCCGGCAATGGGGGGGGGAAGGGAGAGCGAGGCCAGGCTGAGCCGGACGAGCTGCGCGGCAGTGGAAGCATGCTGCCACTCGGTCCAGGATAGAGAAGGGATTGAAACTAGCGCTCGTGAGCGGGCTGACCAAGACTAGTAATCATATCATGGCCGTGTTGGAAGCGTTCCAGAGCGGTTAGAAGCGACAAAACAAGTATGCAGGTTGATGGGAGCTGGCCTAAACGTAGTTTGACACAGGTCAAGTTGGGTAGAGCAGGGGGAGGCGAGGCGAACCCGAGCCCTAGCCCTAGTCGCGAATTGGTAGCGGAAATCTTGAGGCCCAAACCTTGGGTTGTTTTCTTTCGGCTGCATCACGCAGGAGACGAAGCTATTGAGTCCAGAGCTGGAAACTTTAGTAACGTGGGGGGTACAGGACGTCATTTCACAGCGACTCAGTCACGCAAGCAGGTAATTGTCAACACGCCGGCCAGTCTGACTGGTGCAATATACTCCCTTGGCTGGTGTGACCCGTGACGAGGCCGCGGCCGTGAACACAACAAGCAACAAGACACATAATGTATACACACGCGCGTTCGCAGTGAGAATGGTAATGGTGACGACAGGCTGTGTATAAGCAACGAGGCCCTGGAGTCGTTCTTTGAGGAGGCTGCAGACGGCTTGAAAAGAAGCGCACTGGTGAAGCCCAGCGCGTTGGCTGCCATGACTGTGCTGAGGCGGGTGGGCTTGCGGGCGGTGGGAGAGGAGGTGCGGCTCACAACGTGGCCGCCGCAGCCTTCGGATACGGACTGGATGCGACGCGAGAGCGAGAGCGGTTTTGCTTCTGGCAATTCAGGCAGTGCGTCAACGGAGATCCAGGGGGGCGGTTAGGGCGTCGTGGGCGTCATGGGCACAGGCAGGCGTCTTCGGCTAGAGGAACAAGACTCCGGACCTGGGATGGGTGGACTTGGCGGTGACGGGGAAGGGGGGCCAGCTGGTTACGCTAGAGCCAGACACTGAGTTGGGTCTTGCAACCCGCGTGTTATCAAGGGCTAGAGAGATGTGGGGCCACGGGCACCCCGAACGCCTGAGACGCTTGTGCAGAGAGATCGGTAGGGTAGAACGGGCGGGACCTTTAGCGTAGCCAGCTCGGCGGGGGAAGCCGTTGATCTGGCTTGACGGGTGGCCGATTAGGGGGGAGGGGGAGGCCGTCACGTCGGGAGGCATGGTGGATGGAGCGAGGGAGGGGTGAGCGATGTGACGAGCTGGCGGCGCCGTGTGAAAGCAAAATGCCTACTGTACTAGCTGGTGGCCTTGAAAACAGTCGAGCGAGCAGTCATTTAGATGGGGCGGGCAAGGCTGGTGACAGGCGGGCGGATGATGACATGACGATGTGTAGTAGTGGGGTTCGGATTTGTCCAGGGCGTAGGGGGAGGGAGGGGGCACTGGCTGCCTGGCTGCCTGGCTGGAGCGAGTGCGAGAGCGTGCAGCTGCGTCGATAGTACACACTCTACTGTACTCGCACTCGTAACTGTACTTGCTCTGCAGCAGGTGCAAACAAGCACAAGCGCGTTGGAGCAGCCAAGCGAGACGATGCGTTGAAAGGTTGCCGGCGCGCTCAAAGGCTCCAGGCCCCCGTCCAGCCATCAAGAGCGTTGCAGGTGGGAGAGGGAGGGTGAGGGTGTGTGTGTGTGTGTGTTGGTACAGCCGATCAAGCGAATCAGGAAACCTTCTCCGGTTTCGCTTATCCGCGTATGTGATTGGCTGGGTAGCTCCAGGATTAGACCCAACCTCGCATCCCCATCACAGTGACAAAACACGCTGAGAGATGAAAGGGAGCATGCCGTCTTGCGTGCGATGCGATGCGCTGCGCAGCCCTGGACATGTGTTGTTTTCTTTTTTACCTTTTTTGCAACACTCGGCTGCACCGCCCCTGTCGATATCCGGCATCCCCAGCATAGGCAGAGACAGACATGGGCGGGGGTGGGTGGTGGGATATAGTAAGTACGTGTGTTTGTTCATTTATACACGGGCAACTGTGTACGTACATAATCGTATGTATGTATAGTAAGTACTATACGTACTTGGACAGTGGCAGGGCTTGACCACGTTGTGACGACGCCCACACGGCAACCCGACAGCGTACGAGGAGCCGGACAAGGCCCGCGGCTACGCCATCTGTGTGCGCTTGGCCCTGCAGCACGCCTGAGCTAGTCGTCGCAGCGGCTGCCCCAAAACAATGGTCTGTGGCATCAGCCTTCCAGCGCCAGCACGGGGCCTGCCATTATCCAGACGAACCCAGAGTCGGATCGACCGCGGAGTCGTCCCCGGTTCCTTGTTCTTCTCTTGTTCCGCCAGCTGGTCAAACCAGGCCGCCGGGAAAGGCCCTTTGGCAAGGCGGGCGGCACCCACTGCACCCAGCCTTGATTTGACGTGACTGCACAGCACAAGGACAAAGTGACATGTATATGCATGCTTCCACCACCACCACCATTACCGCTGCTATTACCACCACCACCAACAGTATTGCAGGTGGGTACAAGACCAGCAGTGACAGCAGCCATGTGTGTGTGTGCCTGCGCAGTCTGTCGCGCGCTGTTGGCTGGACCGGCACCAATCCCATCACAGGCCCCCCAGGCGACGGCAGCAGACGCGCGCAAAAACAATGGGCCGGAAACGTATAGCCAATGCACCTCCACGTGGAAAGGCGCCCGTCTAGGAAGAATGTACGACGGCAGTGGGCTGCGAGTGGTGAGGGACGAGATTGAGGCGGGCAGGGACCCAGGCCGCTGCTTATTCCACCTTGCCCTTTGCAGGCGCACACGTGCCCTAAGCAATATACCACTTCGCCTAATTTTAGACCGTCACCCACTTTGCTGCTCCGCCCAATGGCTTCGCTCTCGACGCCATCACCAGCCTTCCGCAATGACGCTCCGACCCTCATGCAATGGCTCCGCAATTCATGTCTTTTCCTACTATCCCTACCCTATAGCCTACAGGGAACGGGTATCGCGTCGATCGGCTGCTTGGCATCCATACACCCACCCCCCATCTTACCTCGAAACACACATGCTCAAGCGTCTTCGGCAGCCCACCACTGCAATCATGTGCAGCTGGCCGTCATGCTCCTTCTCGGCTAGCGCTGGGCCCGTTTTCCACAGCGCCATCTCGTCAGCTAACATGAGAAAGCGGTAAAAGCACGGCCGCAGCTCTGGTCGCCGAACTGGACCACCCGCAGGGATGTCTATCCTCCAGCTGCACTTTGTTTCTCGCTCGCTCGCCAGACACGCACACACACACGCGGGCACACCCATAGCCACCGGAGTTGACGCTGAGCCCTGGGAAATGTGATTGTGCAGCGCGTCATGGATGGCCGACGTCTGCTGCTGCTGCTACTCTACGCACTGAAGCACTCCTGTCCACTCGCCTAGCGCTCCCATGCCCCCCATCTGCACATCACGACGATCGCTCTGGCCAAGTCTGGTAGCACTGCTAGCTAACGGCCATTGGCCCTTCACAAACGGTGGGCTTGAGCAAAGGGGGGAAGGGTTGTTGTAGAGTTTTGGCTTTGTCTCTCTGACCACCCCTCCGGGCGCTCCTTGGGCCAGACCGCGTCCGTGCGCCATCAGGCTCTCCCAGGTCCCCTTGGCGCCAGTCCCGACGCACATTACACTCGCTCTGGGGGTGCTCCTGACCCTTGGTACTTGGGGGAGGGGGCAGACAAAAGCACTCCGCCGTGTGTCTGTCTCTTGTCGTGCCGCAAGCCTGGGTCAGGAGAGCCGCATGTCCACCCAAATCTGTCCACTCGCGCCACCCGCCCGTCGTCTTGTGCCAGCATCAAACAATCCCCCCCTCACGCCCATCCGCCTCCCCCCGGCAATATGCGCTGCCCATCATAGTGACCATCATCCAGCAGCATCATCATCAATATTAGTGAACGTGCTGACAGCGAACGTCCATTCGCTCTGCGGTCCGGCGCAAGCCATGAGCTCGCCCACTTTGCTGGTCCAAGCCGTCCCGCAAGCCAGCAGGACTTACTCCGACAGATGGTCTGCCGACAGGGTCTGGCTATGGTAGGTGCTTTCACCCCCCTGGTCATGCATTGCTGTGTGCGGCCCCATGTTCGTCTAGCTCTCTAAATTGAGTCTGAACGGTGTGGGTTTATTATTCATTCGTCGCATTGCTTCTGCCGTGCCTCGTTTGCATTGCCTTATTGTGACAAAGTGCGTCTGTGAGTAGCGCTCCCGCACCCTCACCTGAGGCTGGCTTTTGGGCTGATTCTTCATCTCCCATCCCGATCCAGATCATCCTCAAAAGGCTTGGACGGTCCCTATCGCCTGGTTGAGCCCTTGATAGTGCAAAAGCCCCAGCGCGCCAGTCAGCCACGCGAGCCCACCAACCCTGACAACCCTAGCCTGCCGTACATATACGTAAAGACCCAGCGCTCTCCACTCGCTCGCGGTAACAAAGCCTTCTTAGTCCACCCAGGTTCCAGCCTTCTCCGCCATCGCTCCTTCCTAGGGCGCCCAGGTCTTGAGCTTAACAAGGAGTGATCGCCACTCCACACGCCTCCAACTCCACCATTACCACCACCACCACTGCCAAACACTTGACGAGGCTCACCTTTGCTCCCCGCCAAACCATCACTAAATCACCCCTCCCCAACGCACAACACAGCCACTTTGCAACGCCTCCGTAAAGTACGCTGATTGTGACTACCTCTTGTCGTCTCCATCCTCATCTGGAATCACACGCCTCCATCCACAGCCTTGGGTCCAAGTACCAACGGAGAACACAGAGCCAATCCGGAGCATTCCCCAATCAGTGTCGGACTATAACACCAGTACAGTCAGAGCACATGAGCCACTGTCGTTGAACCCAAAACCCTCATACACAGATACTGTGTGACAGCCTACGTAGCACTACATCTGCGCAACCAGGAAATCGGGCCCTACCGAACACTTCGTGTTAGACATCAACCACAGTTCCACGAGAATCTGCTTTTGCTCTCTTGTACGCCCTCACTCCTCGACCTGAGACGACGAGCAGCACTAACAAGTCGCAGCGACTGAGACTTGGTCAAATTCTTTACGGCCAGACGTGCGTACCTTGGTATTACCGTTTGCCTCAATCAGCGCAGGTACCATTGCTCGGACCAGTCGTTAGCCCTCGGACACATCGACAGACTAGCAACCGGCGCACACCATTGCCATTCTACAGACCGACAGGACATTTGTGTACTTTAGAGGGTTCTTTCTACAAGTCCCTTTTTCCTTCACTCCCTGCCTATCATCAGCTCTTTGTTCCCCTTGGACTTGAGCCCCCCTCCAGCTTTCACCACTACGCCCTTGAACTTCAAGCTGTCTGTTACCCTTTGTGGACTCGCAGCTTTTACGTGGTCCGTATTGGTCTAATCCTGACCACTACACCACTCAGTCATTTGTAGCGTCGCCGCTGCAATATCCTCCAAGTTCTCCTCCATCCGAAGCAGGTAGGTCAACAAGACCTACCCGGAACACAACCGCCAACGTGGCTGCTGCCGTGGCTCATCCGTCTTCCATGCATCCTGGGTCTGACCCAATGGGTGCACCTCCTAGCTTTGCAGCGCGGAGACCTCACGCCCAGCAACTCGGCAGTTTTGAGCTGCCACCGCCACCGATGCACAAATATCCTTTCAGCAACACTGTTACTGCTTCACAGTCGCAGCAGTCTCCAGTCACTATTGCCAGCGTTGGCAACCTCCTGACTCCACCAAACACTAATCACAGTGACGTAATAAGCTCAACTGGAGTTTCAGCAGCTGGCTCACAATATTCCACAACAATGGCCTATTCCAACGGCCAGTACATCTACTCTCCGCCTGCGCAAGCATCCGCTGCGCAGTATGGCTATCAGACTGCGCATCACCAGCAGAACCAATACGGACAAGCCCGAGGAGGTATGTTCGCTCCGTCGCGTGGTGAGGGCCAGCTCGGACGACAGGACTCACTAGGCAAAGGGCTGAATCCGCCACCATATGAAATGACCCAGCAACTTCCACCTTTTACGCCTTCGTCCAACGGATCAAGCATGCCTTCCATCTCTACACAGCATCACCACCATCAGCAGATGATGGGTAATCAAACCCCCGTCTCCTCTTCTGGACCACAGCAGTCGCCCGCTCTCAGCCAGGACTCGTTCAGGCCACCTCAGCCCCCAACCCCTACTTACAGCTACCATAACTCAGGAACACCGCAACACTCAAACTTTCCCTACTCGACTGGACCATCGCCAACCTTGAGTCAGCAGCAAAGCCCCATCAGCGCTGGTGGTTCGATGCAGCGCATGTCGCCAGCTGTGTCGCAGGGCCCGATCCCATCGATCCCATCCAACAACCCAGCGCACTCTCCTTATCAATACCAGCAAAGGCCATCTTTGCAGTATGGAGGAGGACAGGCGCCTGTCTTTTCCAATGTTCAGAACCCTGCCGGAGGCCTTGCGCTTGTTGGACACCCCGGCATGATGTCTGGCTTCAACAGTGGACACGCTGCGCAGATGCCACACTTCCTGGGACATCCCCAGCACCAACCACCAACTGCCAACGATCGTCCATTCAAGTGTGATCAGTGCCCACAGAGCTTCAACAGGAATCACGATCTGAAGCGTCACAAGAGGATACATCTTGCGGTCAAGCCTTTCCCTTGCAACCACTGTGATAAGAGTTTTTCTAGGAAAGATGCGCTCAAGGTATGTTTTTTTCTTCTCCATGTACTATCTATCGTGTATGTAAACAGACTGCTAACGCATTCGTACAGAGACACATCCTCGTCAAAGGCTGTGGAAAAGTTGTCGGCGAAAACGACACCAAGCGCGAAAGTCACTCTCCACGGGCAGAAGATCTGAAATCCCACTCATAATCCGTCTCGCGGTTCACAGCTTCTTCCCAGAAGCCCCTTTCGGCCCCTTTACTTCACTTCTATTGTATTATCTACACCCTCTTATACGGAATTCTCCTCCAAGGTTTCGGTGCATACCTCTTGTAGGGAGCACCGTTACTACGGCTGAGCAAAGCATTCTGGTCACGACTTGTCATGGTATTCATGTTATTTTTTTTACGGGAGATTTACACCCTTGAGACATGTATGGGAGTTTTACATGTCTTTTTCTCTTATGCGCGTTCTTCTCCCTTGTTTATGTTACGTCTACTTGATTTCACTTTTTCCTTCCATCTCTGTCTTTGTCTGGAGCGCGTATACCTCTTGGTCATTTTGGATGTTTCTCGGTCTTGGGTCGGATCAGACTCTGTATCTATCAGGTATACCATGTATGCAGCGGGGGAAGTATGTGTTTGTGTCTGCTCGATTTGCGTTTTCCATAGCCAGTCGCTGCGTGTTTTGTTCTGTTTTGGGCTTTGTACGAATGAGGAAGGTTTCCTGACGGAGTGGGACGCGCGTCTGAGGAAGGTTCACATCTCCCATATTGGGCTGTAATGTTTTGCAAAAAAAAAAGGGATAGGAATATACGCCCCACTGCTTTTTTGTTCGCATCGCAAGCAACATCATCCTGTCATGTTTCTTCTACAGTGCATATATACATGTGTATCAGCGGCGCAAGCAACAAATGAATTTCCAAATGCATAATTTTCCGATATACAGCCATCTCCATGTTGATTATGTCCATGTATGCAGTGGATTACCTTGCACCGTGCGTATGTGCTCACGTTTACGATAGGCATGGCAGAGGGCTAGAGTAAGCGTGGAGCTGTAGCAGGTGGGTGGGGCTGGGGTATATCACTACATGCAATATTTCCCTAATAAAGTCGACTCCGCATGTTAATCAAACCTTCTCTTACCTGTTTGCTTGTGCCCAGGACCGGCCCGGTTGTACAGCGCACCCATGAACCCGGGCAAGGAATGGAGATCGCGACGGCATGTCCCGCGCATTAAGTTGGGGGAGGGAGCGATCTGCGGGTCGAGCTCCAGATCCATTTTTGACTTGACTTCATGTCATGTCAGCAATACGCGCAACCACGTGCCATTATGCTTTTGGTGTATGTTTTTCGTACAGAAATAGATTTTTTTTAAAGTTCTGCGATTGCTAGACATGCATGTAAGACTACTGCTATCGCAAGGGTTGGTGTAGAAGCTACAGCTCGCTTTCTTAGCCTACACGGCACAGTCTTATGCACCCATGGTAGGCAAGGTGAAAGGTAAATGCTCTCATCCTCAATATTGTGATTTTACAACGAAAACATTCCGATTTGTCCAACCAAGTAAACTATTCTCCCCGTTTTATTTTTAGACTACGAGCAATGCTTGCTATCCATCGCTCCAGATTTGTGCCATATCCACTGCTTCTTGAATACACTATTATGCATCTACCACGCGCTCTTGCCTATGACGGTTGCAACTGCCTACAACTCGTCTCGACGCGAGCCCTGCCGCGACAGCGTTTGCATTCGGTCACGCTTCCATCAGGGTCCGTCTGTGCACCAATTCCCCCTCCTACCACTCGTGATACTTCCACACCAACCCTTGTATAACCGCCTCACCGTATGCATCCAACTACTTGTTAGCTTTTTTGTTTGGGAGAAGTTGCAGTCTCAATTGGCAGTGCAGACCTACCCACTCCTCCCTTACTCACCAGTGTACCACCTTGCTGGCTCTCGACTGTCCAACGCGTTCAGTGTCACTGACAACAGTAAACAAACACAAGAGCATCCCGCTCATGGCACTTGCCTAGCCCCACCAAGCACAGCCAATTTGTTTACCACAACACTGACTACTGGTTTCTTTGGCGTTTGCACTCATACCACACGCTCTTTGTACACATCTTAGAAAGCCTAATTAGCAGCCTACTCGTCTGGTAGAATCGCTACTGCAGCACTACTCGAGGGCAGCGCCTTGACAACTGCATTCACTAGCCCAAGAACATGGACTCCGCATTCCATGGCCGTCCACCGTCTCGCCGCCGCGTCCTTGGAGACGTCACAAACTGCGTTAACGAGGGTCTATACAGCCAGCAACGCGATGAAAAGCAGGTCGATAGAGACAAACCAGTCTCTGCACCCCAGCAGATCCCTCAAAAAGATTCGGTAGTCGCAAATGCTTCACTTGCAGTTCGCAACGAGCTGGGTTCTCCAGAAAACAAGCGTCTCTCAGCCGTTCAAGCCCGCGAAGGCCGTCCTCCAAACCCCAAGCGTGATTCGGAAATTTCCAACACAAGCACTAATGCTTCCAGCTCAAACCGCCGTCTCAAGACACACATAGGCCCGTGGCAGCTGGGTAGAACTATCGGTCGAGGCGGCTGCTCACGCGTACGGCTTGTCAGGCACTCTGGAACTGGTCAATACGGTGCTGCAAAAATCATCTCCAAGGCTACAGCAGAGAAAGTCCGGGCGTTAAGTTTGGCCAATCTTATCCAGAGTGCCGAGAAGGACCCAACTCTATGCCATGACGGCAAGGTGATCCCGTTTGGGTTGGAACGTGAGATTTGTATCATGAAGTTGTTGGATCACCCAAACATTGTCCGCCTGTTTGATATCTGGGAGAACCGTGATGAGCTGTAAGTTTCATTGATTACTCAATTTGAGACCATTTTCTGACAAGTATCAGCTATCTCATCATGGAGTTTGTAGAAGGCGGCGAGCTTTTCGCCTACATTCAAGAACAGGGCGGTTTGATCGAAATACATGCTGTCCATGTTTTCCGCCAGATCATCGCAGCTTTGACCTACTGCCATCGAATCAACATTCATCACCGCGATCTCAAGCCCGAGAATATTTTGTTGGACAGAGACACTATGACAGTCAAGCTGGTTGACTTCGGCATGGCTGCCTTACAACCGGTTGGAAAGAAGCTCACCACACCTTGTGGCAGCCCGCATTATGCCGCCCCAGAAGTCATCAGGACTACATCCTACGATGGCGCAAAGGCAGATGTCTGGAGCTGTGGTGTCATCCTATTTGTTCTGCTTACCGGTGCACCCCCCTTCAATTACTCAGGTGATGACCGCGACATGAAGCATCTATTTCGCGATATCGCACAGGCTAAGTATGTCATGCCTGACAATATCTCTAAAGAAGCTCAGGATCTCATCAGGAAGATCTTGGTGCCCGACCCCAAGCGCCGCATATCACTTGAAGAAATCTGGAATCATCCTTTCCTGCGCAAGTACCAACAAGAGCTGAACTTTTTGGGAGACAATGCTCACCTCGATAATTGGACTGGCCCTTCTCCTGTCATAGCTGAGTGGACGGCACTAGACCGGGCCACTATTAATCGCGACATTCTGAGATATCTGCGTACGCTGTGGCATAGCGAGAAGGAAGAGAACCTGATTCAAAAGTTGATCAGTTCAGAGTAAGTAATCTCTGTCATATTGTTGTGTTACCCTTTCACTGACAAAAATCTCAGACCAAACCAGGAAAAGTTCTTTTACGCTGCTCTTTGCAAGTACCATGCCGACCAATTAGAAAATTATCAGCCAAGCTCGGAGTATGCTGTTACTCATTCAAACAGCGATCATCACCATAATATACGTCATGCACCTACACCCTTGGATATTGCAGAGCTTCCATTGAAGCGTAACAAGCGCTCCCAGTCCGCCTACTCGATTCTCAATAACGAGCATCTTTACTCAAAGCATAGCCTCTATGAGACTCCAGCCTCCGAAGCGAGCTACGATCCTTACCGAGCCTCGAGGCAGCCTATAATACCCGGTCCAGAAGATATTCCTCTCAGCCAGCATGTTACTGTACATCGCGGACGTGGCGGCAGCCGCAGTGAAAAGCCACGTCCCACTACAGCTCTGGGACACCGGAACGGCAGCTCATTACGCATTCAGGCTCTGCGAAATAGATCTAAACGTAGTCATGCGACATCGCGCAGTTCTTCGAGCCGAAGTAGCCTGTCTTACCGCGCCTTTTCTGTCCAGAGGCATTCGATGTCACGGTCATCACTCATGAGCTCCCAATGGCCCAGCAGTCCGCCTGTTGTTTCTCGCCCTAGCGGTATAGGCAAGCGCGGTGTGAGCTTCTCGCATCTGCGCGATCGTCGGTTGTCGGCTGCTACTGGTAGTAGTTGGCAGACTGAGATTGGATCTTGTACCGGTTACATGGCTCATAGACCTCACACCTCTATTGGATCGTATGGATCAGCCATGAGGACTAGCACTATCCGTTCGAACCCCAGATCAAAGGCTTTTGCTGGTACAGATACTCCACGTCTCAAGGTGTATAAGCGGGAAAGCCCAACCAAATACATTCAGGGTGAGGTTCGGAAGGTCAGTATGGAGCTGGGCAAGGTCATGGAAGAGGCTTTCAATCGATCATCTGTCGGTTCAAGTGTCTACTCAGGCGCATATACGTATAACGATGCTTCAAATTATGACAGCCCTCTGACATCTTTACCAAACACGCAGAATCTGGGCGGCAGCATACTCGCCACTCCCCCAGCTGCTAAATGGTTGTCCCGAGAGCGACCTCTTCCACCTACACCAGCTGAAACACCAAACACCTTCGTTCAGCGAAAGCTCGCAGAGACCCGTGCGGAAATCGCCCGAAGGATTATGGAGGATGAGACCACTGAACGTTACCACAACCTCCTTGAGAATCTCGATCGCCTGATGATGCCTACAGCGATTGGAGGCAAGCGTATTGCTTCGGCTCCCACGAAGTCTCCTGAACATGGACCACTACATGTGATCCCAGAAGAGGCGAAGATTGACAGTGGAGGTGGGCTAGGGAATCCTGTTGTTCATCACCGGGTTTTCACTGATCCTGTTAGATCTCAGGGTTACCGTGTTGCACCAGACCAGCAGCAGACGATTCGCATTGTTAACGGATCGCCTAATCGTGTGGCGCCTCTAAACATCCGTAAGAAAAGTGGGGCAAGCCTTGATTCAAAGAAAGCTACCAAAGAGGTGACTGTTGAGCCATTGTCTGTGCTGAATAGCAACTCTACAGTTCGTCTATACCAAGACGTGCAGCATGATCTGCCTGCAGCAAGACTCAACAAAGATGTCTCTGTGCCTGCAAAGCAACATCCTGTGATCCGGAAAAAGAAGTCATGGTTTCGGCGAAACAACGATGAAAAGAACAAGGATCATGATGACGAGGAAAACCAAGTCACGAAGCAACCAAATGGGCTACTCCAGGTCCCTGAGGCATGGCACGGCCTTGATGATCGCACCAAAAAGAGCCCTGTGCCATTAGCGAATGGCGGTCATCCAAAGCATAATCAGAAGCAATCGGATGGAAGCAATGGGAGCGAGTTTCCTATACGCCATGACAACTCTAAACCTTCAAAGGGCGATGGCACAGCTCGCAAAGGTTTCCTTGCATTGTTCGGAAAGAAGTTTAAGAATGGCAAAGGAAATTACCCGATGGAGCTAGGAGGTAAGTGAATAAAGGGTGTTGAGGTCCTCATACCTACTGACATTGCTTCAGAAATCAACTTTAGCTCCTCTTCTATCTCGTCGAACTTCGATCTGGGGCCCGACCGCAATAAGGATGTAGTTCGTATCGCCCCTCCTGAGATGCAGATGAACTGGCTATCGCGCTTCCTGCATATCAAACCTGCTAGCAAAACCTTGTGCCTGCAAGTCGGTCGTGGCAAGGTTCGACAGGACTTGGTTCGTCTGCTGCGCGACTGGCAGCGCTTTGGCATTCAGGACGTGGCGTTGGATCGCAAGTCCAATTCCATCAGTGCGCGCGTTGATAGAAATAACCGTAAGTGCAGCCCGTCATCGCAAGCATGTTTTGTATTCTGTGGGTGGCGTCTTCAAAACCGGCGGTTTGACATTGAAGTTTTGAGGGTGAAGCAGACACTGCAACGTAATGCCACTTTTCATTTTCTCATTGCTATACGAGGCCTGAAGCTAACAAATATACATAGACTTGAAGATCAAGCCGGTTTCCTTTGTCATTGAACTCTTTGTCGTACTCGAACACGGGCGCCGCGCCAATCTCTGCCTTGCGCGCTTCACCCAGACGCGCGGAGCAGCATCCAGCTTCCGCAAAGTCGTCGATATTATCGAGGACATCTGTCGTGCTCGCTCCATGCTAGTCGAAGACGAACAAAAGAAAGCCACGATGATGGAGGTCTTGGATTAGGATGCCAAGATGGAGGCATGGGATGATGCAGGCTGTTTGGATACCAGATGGCATACGTCTTACCCACGGGCCTCGGGAGCTGTGCGTTGACATCGCTCATACCTTTGGTATCTTACAGCAGTGTGTTATGACTTGTATACGCAGATTTTGTGCTGTACTGGATATCGACGGACCATGTTGCATGCTTGCACACGATATCCGACCAAAAGTTGCACGAAATCGCGATGTGTCTGAATGCCTTCGTTACGATTGTGTGGCATCAGTAGGTAGACTTGGTTTCTCCATGTCTACTCGATTTTTGTTTCCCACCAAGCGCGTTGTTCATACGCAACACCCGGTATAGTAGCGGGCACTTAATACAGTAATGTCTTTTTGTACTGCGTTAGCTACAAATCGTTTTGATTCTTGATTCTTTCTTCTTTTTTTTTCGACGATGTTACGAAATAGCTATATTGAACTTTAATGATAATGAGACATTGACGAGATGTGAACAGTGTATCAAGTAAGAAGTGAAGTGATTGTACAATTCGATTGGCATTTAGGTATCACCCCCTGGTGGATGCCAGTGGTGCATGGAAGCTTTGATGGAATATACAACAACCATCTGCGTTCCCCCTCCCTTGGGGCATACTCACGAGTCGTGTCGGCAGCATTCGTATTTTTCGTAAGGACATGGTATTTGTATTTTGCCCTACGGCGCCCAGACGCTTCAATATATGAATGGGACAGTGTCTGGTAGTAGTAAACACCGATTCCAGAAGCAAAAAAACAGGGTCAGCCATGAAGAGTGCCATTTCCATTCATTCCATTTTTCCGCAGGTTTATCGGAAACAGAGATTCAGAGAGTAAAGGGAAACACCGAGTCATTCCGAAAAACCAGCCATAACCCAGACTATGCACGCCGTACCAATTTCCCCGCTTCAGCTTAACGAGTCCTTGCCTGCACCTTTGGTGCGGCACCCTTGGCACCCTGCTTGCTGACCTTGGCGGCGTTGCCTCGTGCGGACGCAGCGGCGTTCTTGGCCTTCTCAGCCTTCTTTGCTGACTCGGCGGCGGCCTTCTTCTCCTTGCCCTCCTTGACGGCGGCGCTGCGAGCAGCGGCACGGGCCTCGGGACGTTGGCTGCGGCGCTCCTTGATCACATCGAGAGAGGCACCGACGATGGCACGCTGGTGCTTGACTGTGCGGCGGGTACGCTTCTTGGCGACTTCCTGTTGTGGTGATGGTGGTTAGCATAGTTCGTAATTGCATGGTGATGTTGTATAGACTCCAGGGGGGACAACGACAACACGACAACATCAAACACCAGTGATGCTCCCTATCCCCTGTACATCTTCCGCCAGTTTAAACTGATGTCATCCTTCACTGCCTTCCAGGATACACGTCCCAAGATCGAATATGCATATGAAAATGGGCGGCGACTAACCTCAGAGATACCCTTCTTGTGCGCCCTTCGGTAGAGAGTGGTCCAGTGAATCTTGCGAGGGTTCTTGCGCTGGAGGAAAAGGGACTCGCTCTTGCCGTTCTGGAAGCGGAAGATCTTGCTGTCACCACGGATGTAAAGCTTGCCCTGTATATGCCATCAGCCAATGCCCGACCCATTATGGTATCCCCATCATCCCCCTCCGCCAGATGTTCGCTTTGTTGCGGCGCGATGGCGGAATGTCGACCTCTGGCGGCGGCGGACGGCGGGACACGGGAGCGGCATTGTAACGCACCTTGCCCGGGTAGATCTTTTGACCGCTGAAGGAATCGTCGTAGGTACGCATGTTGGCGGTGTTGGCGTGATACCTGTGTGTTAGTCGTGGGGTTGTCGTCGGTCGCGAATTGTGTGCAATATTGGAGTTGGGACCTGTGGGCGAGCGAGCTGTCTAGTCCGGAAGCGGTTAAAACCTTGGCGCACCGCCACTGTGGCTGGTCCACAATACCATCATCACATGTGCAGCCGCAACACAGGTAGTAATTATTTCATTTACATTGTGGAAGATGTAGATTTTTGCATTTACTTCAAAATATTCAATCAAATGGTGGGGTATAAAACTGACAACTCTATCTCTGCATCCCGCTGTGCCCAATCCTCAAAATGCGCTGAGACCATACACTCTCCTCGGTCAACGTTGAAGCCCTCGTTTCCATTCAACAACTCAATGACTTCATTCCACTGGGCGCTATTCAGCCCGTCGCATTCATCGATCAGATGATTCAGCTCATTGAATAGTGCTTGAGTACGCCTTTCTTCATCATTTAAGGACCCGCCTTTCCAAGGTTCATCATCATATGTATCTTCGTCCACCTCTCGCTCCTCTGACCACTCCTCTGGCGAACATTCATAGCTCGGGATTTTTGGCGAAAGACTTGGGGTGATGCTTGAAGTTATGCTGTTTTGGATATCTTGGCTCGAGTTCAGGCTCTCCATATCGTCATCCGCAAATTTATCCATGGTGTACAGGTTGCTCAGTGTCTGAATGAGCAATCTCAAGGGTGGTTTCGATGTATCGAATGACGGTTTTGTGCTCGAAATTGTGGCATATGATTGAGAAGCCAGTTGCGACACATTGTTGCAAACTGCGCGGACGACAACCGGTATCGCCCAAGGAAGCTCGAGGAGCTCGGAGAGAACAAAAAGAAATAACTGTGTTGATTCCGGCCGAGAAAATCCAATTGTGAAGGCGGACTCCTTGTACATGGCATCAAGTGTTCCAGAAAGCTTATCTACTCTCCTGTCAGGATGCGAGTAAGATGCTGCTGGTACAAATAGACTTACCGAAGGCAGAAGTAAAGCTAAAGTAGCTCAACAGCGCCAGCAATTGTCCTTCAAACCCATGGAGCCCACCTGCATACAAAAAAGCAATGACGCCACCAATGATCTTGTGTTTCAAGTGACTGCTCGCAATGGACGTGGCTAGTAACGATAGGATGGCGGTGAAGGGGCCAAGTGGGAGAAACGACACGATTGGTCCGGCTAGTACCACACCTGCAGCAGTAACAGCTGTCTTCGCAGCCTTTGTAGCATTTTTGATTGGCAACCGCCTGGTCATCAGACCTACTTTACTGATGACTGCATTTTTCCACTCGTCCCGACGACGCGCTTTCTTTTTTGGTTGTTTCATGATTGTGAGTGCGTTGTTCGCTGGAATATTGGACTTGCAACTTGCGGTACTGGTAAGAAACGATCACGGGAATGGTCAGAGGACCGAAGTAGCATGGTTGGGTAAGATGTTTTGACTGGGCAACCCTGGATTGGAAGCGGTGAATATGAAATACACAAAACGAATGGTGAGGTCTCGACCCTCACCGCTAATGCCAGCCTTATCCGTGAAGTGATTGAGCGATACAACAGCTGCTCTGGCATACTCGCGTTTCGTGTAGGCTTTGGGAGGTCGAACCAATCCTTTCAAGTTGGCGAAAACTCCGTAGAGGTTAGTGGGGTAGGGCTGCCAAGAAAGCTCGCTGGTTGCTGTTGTGACGTAGGGAAACTTCCATGCCGACCTGACTGCTGGTGAGTCATGCAACTGCAATAGTGATCTCCTTTACTTTTTGAGCAAACAACATGTTGACCAGATTCATTTTATTCTGCTATCGCAATCCCAACTGAGGACTGGGAGCCAATCTCAAGCAGCAATTAAGATTTACATCCGAATCGCCTGCATCAGTATAGTTTCTGCTCTGCGCAGATGACCAGTCGAACTAACGTCCTTGAGTATACATAGCCGGGAGCTCATGACATCACTATACGTACTTTTGGCTCTGGTACAATTTACCTATTTTTGTCCAGGCCGAGTGCTAGAGACGAGAGAATGTGAGGCGAATGGTACACTAGAATAAGCGAGCCTCGATCGCCTTCGGCCGGGGTCCTCGGGCTTGAACGTTACAGCATCACTTTCATATCAAGCATTTAACTGGCCCCAAAGTATAGATAGCATTCCCACGATCGTAAATTAATTGAGTCTACTTAGTAGGGCCTATAAACATGTGCGCGTCACCGCTACGCCAAAAGTGCCATGCTATATCCTAAAGGAAGATACAGCACGGCGTTGCAAACACAAGAAACCCTAGTCAGGTTTCGTGATTCCGCTATCCTGCTTATCATAATATCGGTATCCAGATCTCCTACGAGTTGCTTCCCGCCACAGCCGCACACTACATGTCATGTGTCAAGAACATGAATCGCTAGCTTGCTGTCAGCCTCTCCCGAGATACGGCGTCATGGTAGCAACATCATCGTGTTGACTATACTGACGAGCCTTCTTTCCCTTTCTTCACCAACCAGTTTGGGGCTTCAAGGGCTTCAAAGCCAATCTTGCCTAAGCTTTCACATGTCAGGAATGAGAAGGCATCCCAAAGAGCCTAAATTAGTTTCTCGATGTGATAAATAAGAGATCAGAAGGCCTGATTGCAGCATACGAATCAAGTCCATTCCTCAAGAGTACACAGCAAGTAAAGCATCATAAAATTAATCCACAAATGGACATCGCTTATGCTCAACCGAGTGAATCGATCCTCAGTATTACCAATTACAACCAGACCATTTTCGGCCCTTCTATTCTAGTATATCACAACAAAAATCATGTTCCCAAAAGATCCATCTTTCGACCTTACCAAAAGTTTTTAACTTCCAAACTAACCCCAGGATATATATATCTCCCCCAAAAGCAACTTCACCAAAAGGATACAAGAAGAAGAGAAAGAAAAAAAAGAAGCGCTTTCATCACCAATTCCACCACTTTTTTTAAGCCTTGGATGAAGCACCAAGACCCTCAACACCCGCAAACGCAGCACTGAGATCCTGCTCTACGCTTCCACCGCTAACACCGACACCGCCAATCAGCCTTCCATTGAGGTAAATGGGAAGACCGCCACCAAAGACAATAAGACCTCCGTTGCTGTTCTCGGCGCTGTAAAGCGGGGCGCCGGGCTGAACGGCAGCGTAGAGGTCTCCGCTGGTGAGGCCGTTGAAGAGAACGGCAGTGCGAGCCTTCTTTTGGCTGATGTCGATAGAGCCGAGGTATGCGTTGTCCATGCGGTGGAAGGCGACGAGCATGCCGGCTGGGTCGACAATGGCAATGTTCTCTGGGATTTGGAGCGCGGTGGCGTTTGCGACGGCGGCTTTGATGACGGTCTGGGCTTGGTCGGCCGAGATGACGAAGCGCTGGGCAGGCGTGCTGCCAATGCCGTTTGTGTTGTTCATCTGGGCGAGAGGTGGTGCTGGGCCTGGTGCTGGGCCGGGACCTGGTTGTGCGGATGCAAGGGCCGATAGAGAGGCAATGCTGGCGATGGTGGAGAGGAAATGCATGGTTGGTAGTGTGTGGATTGGAAATATAGAGGGTACAAGAAGGAGGATCGTTTGTCGATCAAAGAGAATTTAAGTTTCTGGGGATGAGTAGGTTTGTAGTATGTAAACTGGGGGTTCCCTAAAGAAGAAAGTGGTGTGCAGATATGCTTTCGATGATCAATCGTAGTTCCAGATGATCGCTTTTCTCTTGCCATGCAGACTGCAGTCTCAGTTTACTTTATACCATGGGACATGCGGAGGGCCTGGCCATACCGAGTGCTAAAAAGTCTTGTCTCGACCAAGTCCTAACGTCCGCACCTGGTCAAACCCCCTAATGTTCTCCCGTTCGTCTAGCTAACTGGCACCCGCCCCGACTAACTCCATAGCCCGCTGACCCTTGTACCTAGCGGTGGCCACTCACAATCTCTTCGCCAGGAGGGACATTTGCCGGATTCGCCAGACCTGCATCATCAGCGACTCAGCCTTGGGCTAGGTGTATGGAGGTATCCTTCTGCCTTGTGGGCGTTCTCCAAGTCACCGACTACTCAAACACGCCTCAATACCTACGAGGCTTTGCGGTCCCACATTAATGACAATTCAGGCCACCTGGCGTAGGAAAGCTCAACATTTCACACTTTCGAAATTTTCCTTCCGCAGCTAGGCAGGGCCGGTAAACGCTTCTTTCTTTGTTACCAAGGGTCTGGCTCCCGCCTTGGAGGCGCCATCAATCTGTGCCAGCAAAGAGGAAAAAAACTAGATTGCAGGGCGGCACCGCGTGGCAAGGAGCTCGAAATGGGCGACCGCTCCGTCCCGTTAGGCTTGTTGAGGTTTGGTTGCCAGTGGCGCTCGGGCCGGCGCTACTTAGTGTGCGATGGGATCTGTCGCCCCCCGATCCGAACTTGAGCCGTGGCTGCGACAATGGGACCGTTGCTGGCCTAACTGATTCAAGTAGTTGCAAGTGCTTTGTTGCAAGAGTGGTCCTAGACCACTACCAGGCCCGCCATCTATTTCAGATGATGAGGGATATCGTGAACATAATGTGGTGGAGACGGTGAAGAGTGTCGGGTGAAGGTATGCGATGTCGCCCAACAAGGGAAGAGTTGGCTAAAAGTAGTGACTGTGGCGCTTTTTCTATATTCATCCAGACTCAAGCATGTCACTATTTTCACCTCTCTAATACCACCACCATAACGATCGTGCACGCGGATACATCTTTCCGCAAGTAACATCACAGTTCTTGATAGGCCCTCCGTCCAATGTGCATACATATGAATCTGCCGAAAAAAAAATCATGACAGCCGAACAAAGCCATGTACTACCGTGGCATAGGCTCGTAGGTCTCACTCCTTTCCATGCTCTCGACCGCATCTCTTGCGGCAATCCTAGTCTTTTCCGTCACGCCGTCCATCTTCCCAACCGCAGCAAATCTCTCCTTCCACAGCGCCCATCGATCTTTGCTGAACTCGGCCTTACCTTTCCACAGTTCCCCGCCTCGTGCGGGGTTACCCTGCTTGGGATCGGCAGGTGTAAGGTCCTTTTCTAAGCGGAAGAGCTGACGTCCATTTCCGAAGATCCAAGCGGCGGCAGCGGGGACGTACGCGTCGTATTGCTGATTGGCTGTCGCAGAAGGTTCGTCAAAGAGGGGTGTTTCAAGTGCGGTTCGCATCGAGAAGATGGCATATATCCAGAGATCTTGCAGCCCCTTTTGCGTTACACGAGCATAGAAGAAGTTCATGTTTGCCCATGCTTCCACCTCTTGGTCGAAGAAGCCGTGGTGAGCGACTGGAGCGTCGTTGTAGGCTTCACGGCAAGCCATTCCAAAGTCGGTCATTTCGCTGTAGAGGTAGTTGTAGATTTCGTTGTTTGGTATAGAGTGCTCCTTGAATGCCTTGATCAAGTCGACTAGTTTGTCGTGGTTGTGGGACTCTGTATTTTCGCGGCATGACAAGCGTCGTGCTGAGTGAATGATACTATACCAAAGGTCCATGAAGTCTACGTCGTCGAGATGGGAAGAGTTGATTTTCTCGTCAATAGGCCCGAACAAGAGCGACGCCGTCTCGCTCAAGTCGATTCTCTCGTTGAGATAGTCTTGCACGGCTGAATACGCCCCACTTCCATCTTTTGGACGAAACCACCCTCTAATTTTTGCTATTTCGTCAATCCGCTGGGTGCCATTTTCTACAGAAGCAAGAACTTCGTGGATCTGCTCGTGTTGCTTCTGCAAGGAAAATTAGACACGTCTCCGTAATAGAGTCTTGACAAAAATTACCGCTTTGCGTGACATGGTTCTGATGGATGTGGACAGGAAGTTGGAGCCAGTGCCAGGGGAACCCCCAAGAATTAGTTTGTGACTGTTCGTGATGATGTCATAAACCGAGGCTGTGCGGCTGGTCCCGAAAAAGAAAACACGTGCGTATGCTCGTAAGACGACTGGAAGTCTACGCCAGGCCTGTCGAGGCCCGCCCCGAGATATATCCCTAACAAGACACGTGTACACTGAGGGTAAACCGTACCGGAGCATATTCCGGAAACCAGGCAAGACACATGTTTTTGTTGGCGCGCAAAGTGTCTCTCTTCTTCAGTGTTTTTTTCTGCGGGGTAAATGTCAATATTGCGATTGCCATGACTTCTAAATCAGGAACAGTGCGATTTGTTCCACATGTATCAACTCTACAGATGAAGGCATTCCTTCGTACATCTATTTCTTGGGGTCTACAGCTCACAACTTTGCACTCTTCTCACGCTTCGCCAAAAGCCTCAAATCTTTCCTGAGAATCTTTCCACTGGGACTCTTAGGGATCACATCCAGAAACACCACGCCACCCTTCAACTGCTTGTACCCAGCCACTTTGCTCTTCAAAAACTCTGCAACATCGCGCGCACTAATCTTCTTGCCCTTAGCAGCGACAACATACGCTCTAGGAACCTCATTGACCCCGTCATCAGCCTCGACCCCAATAACTGCCGCATCCAGAATATCTGGGTGAGTCACTAATATGGCCTCTAGCTCTGCAGGAGCAACCTGTATGCCCTTGTACTTGATCAACTCCTTCTTACGGTCGACAATGTAAAACAGTCCGTTGCGGAACTCTGCAATGTCGCCAGTGTAAAACCAATCATCTGCAAAGGATTCCTTGTTAGCAGCATCGTTCTGGTGATATCCTTTGCACACCACAGGCCCTTTGATCAGAATCTCTCCTGGCTTTCCCGGCTCGACATCTCGGCCGTCATCATCAACAAGACGGGCAACCACATTCGGCAACAGAGGGCCTACGGACCCAGTGTCGTCATGCATACCCGCTGGCATGATTGAAGCACTTCCTGTCGTTTCGGATAGCCCCCATGTCTGATCGATGAAGCAATCTGGTCCACCTAGCTTTTGGCTCGCTGCATACTGCAAGTCCTTGCCCAGTGGTGCAGCACCGCTGACCACGAGCTCCAGAGTCTGGAACTGGTCTGTTACCTGGTCCGACTTTGCAATGAGTAGGAAGATAGGCGGCACGGTGAAGAAGAAGGTGATGCGGTATTTCCTGTTGTATTCGAGGAACTGAGCAAAGTCGAACTTTGGCATCCAGTAAACAGGGCCGCCCAGGTAGAATCCGTTGAAGAGGTAACCCTGGATGCCAGCGATGTGTGCAATGGGTAAATGAGCGATTGTTCTATATTCAAAGTTCGGTCGCTTCGCTGATATCCATGACTTGACCAGGTTACCTGGGATTACAGTCTCGGCTACCAAGTTGCGATGAGAGATCTTGACACCTAACACCGGGATCAGCACGCGTATGAATCTCTTGGAGTCTTCTTGTCTCTTACCCTTTGGCAAACCCGTAGTCCCAGAGCTATAAATCAGCACAACAAGACCATCCTCCAGCTCCCGCGGATCGGTAATCCTCCTCCAAGCCAACCTATCCCCCTCATCAATCAAATTTTCTCCCAACGCTCCATTTTCCTGAACAATCCTCAAACTCCACTCTCTCCACTCACTCATAACAAGCACTCTCCCACCCCCATTTCTCCCCCATCCCGCCGCCTCAGCAGCCCCAATCGCAACATCCCTCGTCCCCTCAACCGCAACAAGAATTCTAGACTTAGCACCTTGAATCTGCTTGCACAGCTCACCAGCTGTGCTAGCCGTAGATGCAGCAGAGAACACGCCTTCCGCGCCAATAACGCCGTACGCGAGCGCAGGAAGCAAATAATGTCCCGTTGAAATCACCGAACACACATCTTTTCCTGGACCTCCTGCACCAATGCCAAAATGCTTGCGTAGCGCCGCAGACGTCGCTTCCGTCAAGACGCGCGCCCGCGCTGTCGTCAGCACCAAGCTTGGATCTGCGGCTGAAATGTGAATGGGCGAATCCGGTTTCGCCAGCCCAATGCCCGAATCTACATGAGCATTATGTTTTAGTACTTGCTGGCATACGTGTATGTATTTCCAAGGGTTTTTTTTTCCAAATGTAGATGATGGGCTTTTTGGGGGGTGGGAGAAAGGGGGTAAGATGACGTACCGAATAAAAGAGTAAGGATATCGACATCTGGAGTCGGATATACATCTGAAGCTCGATAGATGATGCCATGCTCTGTCTTCTCTACTATCGTTGTCATCTTTTTTGCTCGAATTCACTTTTGATTATCGAAGAAGGACAAGTAGCGAGTTTGGTTTGGAAATGTGAGAACGCTTGAGAGGAAAATAAGAAGGGATATCTATGGCAGTGCAAAAGCATATATCAGCTTTACTGAAAGTTTGTATTTGCTTTTTTGGGGACTAAGATTAGGTTGGTGGGTGCCTGCATTGCTCCCTCTCTCCCTTGCCAACTATATCCTCCCCTACGCTTCATTTGATTCACTCTAGCACTAGCGGCCCTTGCGGCTTCGGGGTAAACCTTTGATGCTAATGCGGCTGAGAAAGCGGGGTAGTAGGTTTGGAGACGAATACTACGTACAACTATGTAGAGCCCGCTAAACCGAGGCTGTCCGGCATAACCCTGTGATGACTCGAGTAGACTATTCGAGCACGTATGTTGATCCTTGCGCACTCCGAGGCGCGATACTTGTCCGCATTTGCTCGGAATCGTGCTTTGATGATTGCTTCAACCTCTACGCTTAGTATTTGGCTCATTATCTGCATCATCGTCATCGGCATCGCCTGTGTTGAGAGCGGATTTGTTCGGCTTTCGCCTCTTTCGCTTCTTTTTGCCTTGTTGACTATCATTGCCAGCATTCTCCTGGATAGCCTTTACGGCTAGGGGAAGTACTGCTGGCCGCGCAACTGGAGGAAGCTCACTATCATCGACTTTGGTCTTGCGCATGCCCCTGGGGTTCTGCTTCTCAAGCAACGCGACATATTCTGCTGTGCGTTTTGTATGCTCGACCTTGGTCATAATCTTCCAGTTCTCAGGCTTGTCTGCTTCTCTCCACTTCTGCCAAACGTCTTCGTGCATTACACTGCCACTGAGAACTACGAAAGCGCAACTGTTCCATAGTGTATGCACAGCTTGCACAGGAAGCCACTTTGGCCGCAATTGGCCATGTTCTGTAAGCCACTGAGCCACTTTAGCAGGAGTTTGACACATGTTGCGGATGTGCGGTTCAACATAGATGGTGCGCTGATCCCAGAATGCCAAACCATCATCATCGACTACTTCGAACGAATTGTGGGGCAGATATTTGGGTGGATACGAAGAGGGTTTGCGACGGATATGATAACCATTGTTTGACACTTGAAGTATTCTAGAGGGGTGATCTCGGAGCGCTTGTTGGAGCAAGACTTGGGAGGCTTCGGGTTTCAACGAGGAGATGTTGGGATGCTCAAGGATGGCTGTGAGATGGATGTCTGGGTATTGGGTTAGCTATACACAGACCCATAGCCCAGCAACGCCTACAATTCTCCTCATCATCTACTGTCCGGTATCGATCCCGAAGCCACTTTGCTCGCTCCTCTTCTTGGTGCGCATAGTCGGTAAAGATGAGTTCTATACCAGCAGCAAGTTGAGCAATGTACTCAGGGGTGACTGGTTTGACAGTGAACCTAGGACCAGGCTTGGTAGCCTTTTGGTCAACCTGCTCTTCTGGTTGAGGAGTGAGTGAGGTTGTCCTTGTATTTTGCATAGCCTTGACCAGGGCTTCATCGCGATCGGTCTCAGCATTGCTCACTGACGGGTTGGAAGTGTTTGGTCGCGGCTTCTCACGAACACCCTTGAGCCTAAGCGCTCGCGGAACAAACATGATGTTGAAACGCCGGTACGATGGTGAAGAGACAAGCAAACATAATTGCGACAAAAGTCGGTCGCGATACTATGGCAGGCGACTCAAGACGCGCCGCGGCTCAGGAGCACGGACCTTACGTCAGTCCCCATGTTCTCCATTTCCCTGGGTAACATCAACACGCACTGCATCTTTTCTCAATCCGCACCAAATCCCGCGCTCAATCCGTCGCAATGGCAAAAGAAAAGAACTACAACCCCGTTCAGGAAGCCAAAAAGGCAGAGAAGCAGAAGCAGCTCCGCAAGCAAAAAGCCAACCTCCAGGCGCAGCGCAACGAGAAACTCGCGCGGCGGAACCCACATCGCATACAGCGGGACATCGACGGCCTCAAAGAACTCGAGCAAAATGGATCGATACGGCCACATGAGAAGCAGCGACTGCAGGAACTAGAGAAGGACCTTGCAGCGGTGAACAAGGCGCGCGCAGCGCTCGGAGACAAAGCCCCAGTATTCAAGCCAGAGCGACGATTCGACAACGACGACCAAAGTCGAAGAGGCGACCGAGAAAGCCGAGGCGGCGGTGTTCTCGGCAAGCGAACGCGAAACGGGCAGCGAAAGGACGACGACAGCAGCGACACCGACGACGATGTCAAGCACATTCCCATGCCTCGCGATACGCCACCGCCGATCCCGCGAAAGTACCAAGCGCGCGCCTCGCAGGCCGATGAAGCACCGCAAGAGGCCAAGAAACCGACGATTGTGTACGAAGCTGCGCCTCAAGTGCGTGACTTGCGCAAAGAAGCCACAAAGTTCATGCCTGCGGCTGTGGCGCAGAAGTTGAAGTTGGCAAAGGGCGAGGGCCGGTTGCTAGAGCCTGACGAGTTTGATAAGTTAAAGGACGAGGGGTATATGAAGGAGCAGAACAAATCAGAAGGTGAGGCTAGTGGAAACATTGCGCCCGAGGTGGATGAAGAGCTTGAGGCGTTTATGAAGCTACAGTCTATGAGTGCTGGACAGATGGCCGAGAAGGCGGCCGAAGCAGCGGTGCAAGAGGCAGAATATACGATGATGGCTGCTGAAGCCAAAGGGCAAATGCAGGGAATATCAAACGAGGCGCGCACGGCAGAGAACACACTCCGGCACGTGCAGATGGAGGAGGTTGAAGACGAGGACCTGTAGATTGAATCATACCATTCACCATTCTATTGGTCAACCACATGACCCTTGACGAGGCGTGTTGTCGGGCCTGGAAGGACTATGCACAACCAACATGCGCAAGCAAACGATTCATAAGGTCGCCGGAAGCAAACACACCACATACAAGCAGCCATCCAAGCACCACAGCAGAAAAGGGGTATTCAGGATAATGTTTCATTCGATTAGGTGTTAGGGTATAATATGTGTGGCTTCTAAGCTACAGTCATGTTGCACCTATCGCAACGTATCATCGATCGTCATTCCCCAGGGTCGTGTCGTGAAGAGCGTGGGCGTGGGAGAGAAGCAGTTTACTTCTTCTGTCCGCCAGAGAGGGTGTCGGAGATGGCCTGGCCAGCGTTGCTCAGAGAGTCCTGAGCCTGCTTCATGACACCCTCGCTCTTGTTGGAGGCGTCGTCGTGGCCGGAGCGGGTAGCGTCACCGAGCTTCTGTCCAGCAGATTTCTGGCCCTCTGTTGTGGTGGTTAGTGGACATGTTTAGACGAGGGCTACTTGGGGCGTCAGATGCATACCAGGCTGAACGGCACCAGCGATGCGGTCACCGGCTCCGCTGAGAGTCTCGGATGCCTTCTCAGTGTTGGACTTGGTGGAGTCGGGCTGGACTGGAAGGCTGTCAGTATACTCGACTCGAGGCACAGTCGGAGTGAGGCATCTTACGCTTCTCGGAGGCCTGCTCGCCGAGTCCCTTGCGCATGGAGTCAGACATGGTGATGTTGGTGTGTGGTTGGGTTGTTGTTGTTGTTGTTGGAAGAGTTGTTTGAAAGGTGTAGTAGTAGCTGAGTTGAGTGTGTGATGAGAGTTGATGCAAAGGGCTGCAAAGACGGTACTTTATAGGCAGCTGCCAGGCATCGAGACTGGCTACGACATGTGTACGTCATTCATAATTGGGCGGTAGTAGCAGCAGTAGCAGCAGTCACGGCAGGAGAGGAAAAGGTGGGTGAGATGGATGGAGCCTTCCTCTTTCCCACGAGCCACAACCGACGGCCAACATACCTGCAAGCTCTACTGGGATGTAGACCAGTTTGCAGGCGCCACACGCCGCCTCGATTGGTAGATCGGCGCGTCTGCTTGGCTGGATTGATGGCATTCTCGCGCCCGTCCATGGCATTCGCGTCATCGGCCACGCGCCTGCCAAGATGCAGCTTCTGGCCTCCCGGTCACAAGACGGACATGTGCCTTTACCCTACTCTATGCCCAGTCTCATAGGATGCGTTCACTCGAAGTCTTTGTCCACCGCGGAAAAGGGTCCACAGACCGTTGCCCGCTGTGCATGGTGGGGTAAAGCAAAGGCCCCGCTGACGTAGCTGCAGTGTCACGAACGGGTCGCGCATCACGTGACCTTCGTCATCCCATCACATGCAGTCCACTTGGACAGCCAACAGTGTGTCCATATGCATACACTACACCTACACCTATCAACATGCACATGCATAGCTACCATCACTATGCTCCTTGAACAACCTGCCTCTGCAATCACCGATCACCCCCCTACATAAAGCCCCATCGGTACTCGACCCACCTTTATCCCCCTCAGGCAATCACTGCTACTCTCGTCGCCGCCGTGCCCCTCTGCGAAATCAAGTTTGACTTGTGTCGCAAAAATTCCACTTTTCATCTCGGTACCCTATTTCATCCCATAGCCTGTATTGCACCAAATCCGCTGGCCCGTGGCGTCACGCTCGACACCCATTTCAACCAGCACACGGCCTGGAATGCCTTCAGCCGGCTTGTCAGGCTGCAAACCGCTGTTGCCCATCCCACAAGCGTTCCTTGCTCATTTCTCGCTGTACATGGCAAAGTAGAAATCGCTTTATTTGCAGCGGCGCATACATGTAACCGCATCTACATACCATGATCAAGAGTTGGCTTTGTTGCACTCCAGTCGAGACGCCTTTGATGAACAACACCAACATCCACCGGTCATGTCGCTCCTTGTTAGCATATAGCACACCACATGAAGACCTCACACTACGCCAATTCTCGTCTTGCAGTGCTTGCCAGCAACAGGTTACCGCCCTGCATGCTCCCGCGCGTCTGAGGCGGACAAAATCTGCAGTTGCTTCTTTTACAACCTCACGAGCCACAACGGGGCGCCCCTTATCATGCTAATTAGTCGCGTAGAATTTTGAACTTGTAGCCAATCAGATTTTTGAGCAAAACTTATCCCACGCAACATCCCACTCGGCGGCTATCTCCCGTGTTTCACATGGGACCCACATCGCACTTTTCCTAGACAGCTATCGCTTCATCGCCTACCACAAGGGTCTATGTCGACCAAGCTCCGACATCCCTAATCTTACTTGCCGCTGTACAATGGCTTTCTTCGTATGCCGTCAAACACATACATTGACTCGCCATGCCATGTTGGCTGTGCCACAACTGCTAACAATAGTTCACGCTGTGCCGAGCACAAGGGTACGTCTATGCAGCGACAAAGACAATGGGTGGTCTAGGTGCTGTGCAAGTGGGTTTGGCCTAAATACATATACCTCATGTACATAGCTTGCACTTTCGGTCCAAGGACTCACCTCACACATTCGTTTACTTGGTATACTCGCCAACCAGTCACAGGCTGTTGTTGCTTCTGTTTCTGGCATTGCCTTGTTTAGAAACATCAAACACCGACGGGCTCATCTTCGTTCGTCGTCGACTACTTATGAATTAGGGCACCCTACACAAAGAATTGCCGAATCCACCACATTCATTTATATTACAGTCGTTCCTTCTTATTACCACACTCGTTCACTACCATGAAGTACCTTCAAGTACTCTTGTTCCCTGTCGCTTTCTTTAGTTTTACTTTTGCCGACTTCACAGACGATGCTATTGCTTCCATCCAGACATTGCAGAAGACATGGTACAATTTCAATACTGGCCTCTGGTAAGCAATGCGCCACCTCGTCACTTCCAATTCCTAATGAACCCCAGGGACGACTTTTGGTGGCAGTCAGGCAACATTCTTGAGGCCATAGCTCAATTTGGTATAGAAGATCCAGACTTCAAAGATGTTGCAGCAAACATTGTCGCAAACACATACGCCAAATCACCCGAGCAACACGGTGCGAAGCAGTGGACAAACAAATTCTATGACGATATGGGATGGTGGGCTATGGCTTGGATCGCCTCTTACGACCTGACTGGAGACAAGAAGTATCTGGATAGCGCCAAATCTATTTTCCAAGATATGACCAGCGGCTGGAACACGCCCTGTGGTGGTGGAATATGGTGGTCAGAGGACCGCGATTACATCGCTGCCATTGCGAACGAACTTTTCCTCGCCGTGGCTGCACACCTTGCAAATCGCTGCAGCGGCCAAGAGAGACTGGATTACCTCAACTGGGCTGAAAGAGAATGGGAGTGGTTCAGCAATTCCGGCCTCATCAACTCGGATGGACTGATCAATGATGGAATCGACCCGACCACCTGCAAGAACAACGGCGGGACAACCTTCACCTACAACCAGGGCGTCATCCTAGCCGGTCTCTCTGAACTTTCGCGCGCAAAGTCCGATCCCAGCCTCGTCGATCGTGCATACGATATCTTTAATGCTGTATCAAAACACCTTACCGACCCCAGCGGTATTCTCACCGAACCTGTATCCGGAGCTCTGGATCCAGTCGCATCACAGTTCAAAGGCGCTTTCGGACGAGGCCTGTTGACACTATATCAGTATAAGCCACGAAAAGAAGTCAAGCAATTCATCATGATCAACGCCAATGCTGCACGAAGCGCACGAAAGGGAGATGGTGGCATTATTCCCGGTCGCTGGCAGGGAGATAGCAGCGATGGAAACACTTGCACGTTGGCTAGCGGCATTGACATCCTGGTGGCTGCGGCATATGCTGAGAAGCATTAGTCTAACGTCTCCTTGTGGTCATTTGTAACGTTCTATACCCCGTTTGCGTTCTTTTTTTCTTATCTCAATGGGTGTTTGGCGCTATGGCGTCTTGGGTCTTATTCCAGAAAAGGGGTAAGGCAGCTGGGTTCTGCATTTTGTGTATACTGTAATGATGAATGTTTAACGTAGTTCCAGCCTTGACGAATTGCAAATCGTCAAGGTTTTGGCTGAATCACATTTATACTACCACTACTCGCTTTCAATTTGATCGTGACATGTTGAACACATCTTGGCTTTTCGTACACACATATTCTCGCACTCAAGTTGATGGTACGTATATGGTCGGTGCTTCGACCAAACAGGAGTGTGTCTTGGTTTCACCTTGACATTCGACCAAACAAGGATTTAACCTTTGCGCAATGCGCGTGTTTAAAAAGCTTGTTAATGCCAGCGGTTTTCATCCACTCCCTGTAGGCAAGGATACCTAGGTCGAATTGATTTCATCAGCACATCGTGCACCCTTGATACCGTTCTGCTTCCGCCCTTTGATCCTAGCTGATTGCTATTTATGTAATTATCTACGAAACCATGCTCATACCGCACCTAATTAGGGCAACATGAGTTTGTCAATCACGTTCTTTAGTCCAAGCGTATATGGGGAAAACGTGACGGCCCGTCACGTGCACGGTACCGCTCGCTAAACCTTAAGCTACACTCTTCCTGCAGGGATCCTCCTGTACTCAAGGCCACACCGATCTACCTCAACGCTCCAGTAAAACTCAATAAATCTGTCAGCACATACATTTCACACCTTGTTCGCGCCATAGACAGTCAGGAAACAAAAAACTTGGGTCGATGCAGACGTTCTCAAATTGACCCAAGACATCGGTACCAACGGCTTTTTTGCCCACACCAGCTCCACATATCGCACTTGTCCGGATCCGCATACAGGCCTTTTTTTTTCTACATAAAAGCTTACCGAAGGGTCTTAGTCAAGAATACGAGAGCATGCAAGGCGATAAGGTGACTGTTGTGCGCTCTCCGCTTTACCCATAAGCCCGAGGCAAATCGACGTCAGTCCAGACTAGAGCCTGCATGTACGGCAGCTTCATTCGTGACAAGCTACATTGCATTACCTCTTTGCTGTAGGTAAAATTCGCGCAACTATACCGGTCTAGTGGCTATCTAGGTTATTTTGAGAGATTTCTTTTTACTCTTTTCTCCATATTGCTCCGTCTGAGCATAATCCACATAGGTAAGGTCAAAGGTAATATGTGCAGCAACGTTGGCCCTTTCTTTTCGCCTCTTCGTGACTTGCTGCGTATTTAGGCCAAAATACTGGGGTTTTTCTTCTACATACATAACTCATTGCCGGTCGCCTTGGGATAACTCTTCTTGCTCGACACAACGGTATCTTTTCTTTGCTTCAACTCATTTTCTCCAATCATGGATTCCGGAGTAAACGAATCTCGGTCATGGATGCCGAGGTTTCTCAGAGCGCCGGATCAGAAGGATAGCCAGCCAGATGAGAGAACATCGCTTCTGCCCAACTCGCAGCATGAGGAGTGGTCTACGGGCGAAACTACGGAGCTCGACGATGAAACCGCGACATCCCTTCAACTTCTTCTCCAAGAATTCTGGATACTCCTCAAAGGATCAGTACCCGTGGTCGTAGCATACGCATTACAAAACTCGTTACAGACAGTCTCCGTTCTTATCGTTGGACGCTTATCACCAGAAGCATTGGCCACAGCTGCATTCTCATACATGTTCGCAATGGCTACCGGCTGGCTCGTTGCTCTTGGTGGAACAACAGCAATCGACACTTTGGCGTCCGCCAGCTTTACGGGAAGCAAAAACCGCCATGACCTTGGAATCATCCTCCAGCGCTCCTTCTTGGTGCTATTGTTATTCTACATCCCAATTGCTATAATCTGGTTCTGCTCTGAACCACTTTTCAAAGCGCTCGGTCAGGAAGATTATATTGCGCGCGACTCGGCAAAGTTTCTCTCTGTACTGGCGCCTGGTGGTATTGGGTATGTCTATTTTGAGGCGCTGAAGAAATACATGCAGGCTCAAGGTAGGTCTTCTATAAATCTAAAACACACCGGTCTATCATACTCACACATACAGAAATCATGAGGCCCGGAACTTACGTCCTTCTCGTAACATCGCCTCTCAGTGCCGGCCTCAACTACTTGTTCGTGTATACCTTCAAGATGGGGCTACTTGGCGCACCCCTTGCGACGGGTATTGCGTACTGGGCATCCTTCTTCCTGCTGCTTGCCTATGCACGCTTCATAGACGGATGGCAATGCTGGGGTGGTTGGGACCGAAAATGCCTTCAGAACCTATGGGTCTTTGCACGCCTAGCCTTCCTTGGAGTCATACATGTCGGCACAGAATGGTGGGCGTTTGAGATCGTCGCACTCGTTGCAGGCAAGCTTGGTACCATACCACTCGCCG